TTTAGAAATGTTTACAAATTAATACAAAATGAAAAGCTGGAATGTCTTGAGTCAATAAGTATTCAACCCTTTTGTTATGGCACAGATTCAACCACAAAGACCAGTGAGGTTTTCCAATGGTTTGCAAAAGGCACCTATTGGTAGATCCCACCCCAAAAAAGCAGACATTGAATATCCCTTTGAGCATGATGCAGTTATTAATTACACTTTGGATGGTTTATCAATACACCCAGTCACTAAAAAGATAGAGGCCGCCTTCCTAACTCAGTTGACGGAGAGGAAGGAAACCGATCAGGGATTTCACCATGAGGCCAATGGTGATTTTAAAACCGTTACAGAGTTTAATGACTGTGATAGGAAATAACTGAGGATGGATCAACAACATTGTAGTTATTCCACAATACTAAATGACAGAGTGAAAAGAAGGAAGGCTGTACAGAACAAAAATATTCCCAAACATGCATCCTGTTTGCAATAAAGCAGTAAAGTAAAACTGCAAGAAATGTGGCAAAGAAATTAACTTTTTGTCCTGAATACAAAGCGTTATGTTTGGGGCAAATCCAACACATCACCGAGTACCACTCTTCATATTTTCATGCACGGTGGTGGCTGCATCATGTTATGGGTATGCTTGTCATCGGCAAGGACTTGGGAGTTTTTAAGAATAAAAAGAAACGGAACAGAGCTAAGCACAGGCAAAATCCTACAGGAAAACCTGGTTCAGTCTGCTTTCCAACAGACACTGGGAGACAAAATCTATGACAAGACTTGAAAATGGCTGTCTAGCAATGATCAACAACCAACTTGACAGAGCTTGAATATTTTTGTAAAAGAATAATGGGCAAATATTATACAATCCAGTTGTACAAAGCTCTTATGAGACATACCCAGAAAGACTCACAGTTGTAATCACTGGCAAAAATGATTCTAACATGTATTGACTAAGGGGGTTGAACAGTTATCTAATCAAGAAATATTAGTGTTTATTTTCCATACATTAAAAAAAAAACTTTGACAGAGTATTTTGTGTAGATCATTGACAAAAAATGACAATTAAATCCATTTTATTCCCACTTCGTAACAAAATGTGGAAAAAGTCAAGGGGTGTGAATACTTTCTGAAGGCAATGTGTATCCTCAGAACTATACTTCATCCTGAAGCGCCTCAGCCAATTTCCTGTGTAACCATAGTAATAATTAACCAAATCATTTTCTTGCGCTCTTTTGTGGCTTTGCTATTGGAGGATGCTATGATCACATATTCAACATTAGATTAGCCTATGCAATACAGTAACAGTGTACTGGCCAGGGGGACTACACACTTCAAGCTGATTATCTATCATTTTCATTGAGATCTATGTACAGCAAACATAAATATCAGTCAAGTATATTTATCAAAGCAGGTGACCAGTAAACATATCAGCACATTGTGACCCATGGAGGAAATATGAAATATGATATTAAACAAGCCCCATTGCTGCTGCATGCATGAGTGCATTTTCTTGCAAAAAAACATGATTGCAGGTTCCCTATTGTCAAATCTACAGTACACCCTGAAATAGTCATATTGAGTACAATACAGTATAGAAAGAACAAGGCAGATGTATCCTAAAAGCAATATGGCAAAAGAAATCTGTACAATGGACAGTGTATAATGTGACTGACTCAGAAACAACTCAGTAGGTAAAATGTGTAGTAGGTCTATAGATGGTACAATATAGTAAACTCCTAGCCCTTGATCATGCAGGCCAAAGAGGGTGAAAACAGCCAAGATTACCCACTCAGTGTAAAGATAATCTGTCTGGGTTAGAACAGGCCACCATATGATATGTTTGGTACATTTAATTTTACATTTTAGTGGTACAAATGTATTGCCTCTCCTATCGTTCTTCAGACAGTTTTACAAATACATTGATAGGAGTTTGAGTGCATGCAATATCAACTAGGGCTTGCCATTCACCCATTAATGTTCATCAGCAGTAAACAAGACCATAGAAGTAGTGTTTTCTGGAGTCAACCAAATATATTTTACGTATATAGATGGATTTAAAATAAGACTTTATCCTCTCCATTAAAACAGACAAAAACACTCACAGTCCATGCAAAGTGGATGGAGATAATGTACAAATACAATGTGTATGTGGTATGTGTGTAGGGTGTGTGTGTCACTTCTCCTGCATCACTTCTCCTGCAGCAGAGCTGGGATGTTAATGTTCCATCCGATGGCTTGCCGGTCGAAGCCACAGGTGAACAGGTTACATGTCGCGTTCTCCTCGTTCCACACCGAGCAGCACACCATGCGCCGATGACCCTGGAATACACACGCACACACACATATCAAAGACCACACAACATGGATAACAAAGCTCAAACAGACTTCAATGTACTTGTGTACAGTATCACACAGCTACACAAGTTAAAACCCCCAACAACAACCCTTTGACCTCCCTGGTACACAGCACTACATTTCCACATCAGCAGTGTTAATGGCTGTAGACACCGAGGCAGTGTCAGCACTCAGCCTGCAGGAAGCGACTGTCTGTGTGTGGAAATGGATTGGAGAATCTTTCCTCCTCTCTCTCTCTCTCTCTCTCTCTCCCTCCCACTACCTCTACAGAAGGGGCTGTCTGTGTGACAGACAAAGAGATGGAGAATCTTTCCTCCTCATCTCGCTCCCATTCTTTCTCCCTCTCTCCCTCTGAGGAAGGGACTGTCTGCATGACAGAAGGATAGACAAATAATCTTTCCTCCTTCCCTCCTGCTCTCTTCCCTCAGTACCTACCTGTCTGTTGCTGCGTGGTAGTCGTGCCAGTCTTACTCCAGTCATGTCAAACAGCCTGACTTGCCGATTGTCGTGTGGGAGAGCGATGATTCTTTGGTTGGCTGAGACACTTATCCTGGAAGGAGTTCAAACAGAGAGTATGGAGAATTAGACAAGAGCAGGGAATAAAGCTTGACTTGATGTGTTATTGACAATGTTATTAATAACTATATGTACAGGTGGAGCTGTCACTCAACTACTACACCTAAACTGTCAATCTGAACTGTGCTAGAGTTAAAACAAAACATCCATATTTTGGAAAATATGAACATAAAAAGTTCTTCACATACAATTAAATGTCTCTCCTACCTGTTAACAGCAGAGTCTGTGCGGATGGTTGCTATGGGCGACCTCATGTTCTTCAAGTCCCACACCTTGACGGTGCGATCGTCACTCCCCGACACCACATTGTCCCCCACTGTGAACACAGCTGACGTCACCGTGCTGGAAAGACACACAAAAATCAACAGAATGATCATTGTTAACATTTCTCTCAGAGCCACCAAATCTCGAAGCTATACTATATTATTAATGTAGAGGCACATTTTGTTGGAAGCTTGTGATATGTTTTACCAGTTATTTTTCATAGTCATTAAATTAGTCAAACATACACTATATATACAAAAGTATGTGGACACCCCTTCAAATTAGTGGATTCGGCTATTTCAGCCACACCCATTGCTGACAGGTGTATCGAGCACACAGCCATGCAATCTCCATAGACAAACACTCAACATGGCACCGTCATAAGATGCCACCTTTCCAACAAGTCCTGCTAGAGCTGCCCCGGTCAACTGTAAGTGCTGTTATTGTGAAGTGGAAACGTCTAGGAGCAACAACGGCTCAGCCGCAAAGCGGTAGGCCACACAAGCTTACAGAACGGGACTGCCGAGTGCTGAAGCGCGTAAAAATCGTCTGTCCTCGGTTGCAACACTCACTACCGAGTTCCAAACTGCCTCTGGAAGCAACGTCAGCACAATAACTGTTTTTCGGGAGCTTCATGAAATGGGTTTCCATGGCCAAGCAGCCGCACACAAGCCTAAAATCACCATGCGCAATGCCAAGCGTCGGCTGGAGTGGTGTAAAGCCTTGCCGCCATTGGACTCTGGAGCAGTGGAAACGCGTTCTCTGGAGTGATGAATCACGCTTCACCATCTGGCAGTCGGAAGGACAAATCTGGGTTTGGCGGATGCCAGGAGAACGCTACCTGCCCGAAAGCATAGTGCCAACTGTAACGTTTGGTGGAGGAGGAATAATGGTCTGGGGCTGTTTTTCATGGTTCAGGATCCTTAGTTCCAGTGAAGGGAAGTCTTAACGCTACAGCATACACTGACATTCTAGAGGATTCTGTGCTTCCAACCTTGTGGCAACAGTTTGGGGAAGGCCCTTTCCTGTTTCAGCACGACAATGCCCCCGTGCACAAAGCAAGGTCCATACAGAAATTGTTTGTTGAGATCAGCGTGGAAGAACTTGCCAGGCCTGCACAGAGCCCTGACCTCAACCCCATCGAACACCTTTGGGATGAATTGGAACACCGACTGCGAGCCAGGCCTAATCGCCCAACATCAGTGCCGACCTCACTAATGCTCTTTTGGCTGAATGGAAGCAAGTCCCTGCAGCAATGTTCCAACATCTAGTGGAAAGCCAGAAGAGTGGAGGCTGATACAGCAGCAAAGGGGGGACCAACTCTTTTGGAATGACATGTTAGACAAGCAGTTGTCCACATACTTTTGGCCATATAGTGTATCAAATCAGAAACAAAGAAAAAAGTATCTCAAAGCTATCACATCAAAACACTGCTGGCAAATAACAGGAAAATGGAGTCTATTAAAGATGGAATTCGTAGCGGTGAAACTACCACGTCCATTTGCGATATTACAACATCAAAGACGTTACTTCAAACAACGAACACCGTTTATTTTTCCCTCTGAAAAATAACTAACAATAACTAATCCGCCTAGGGCGACCAGTGGTGCAGTTTCACTTTATGCGGATCTCAGCTTTAAAGGTGTGTTACTCTTCTTCTAAGACTCGTTATGTGTGACTCAAGTGAAGTCATTCAGCCTGTAGGGAGAGTCATCTCCCTGCCGTCACACAGTTATTCATAAATGAGAGTGATATAAACCGTGAGGAGGGAGGTTAAGATTATTATTAACAATCTAACAGCGGGGGAGTAACAATCAGTCAGTTCCAGAGCGGAGCTCCTCTCCCCAGCCCTGCCTGTCTCTGCGGCTGCCTCTCAGCGTGCCGTCTCTGGGTACGCCTGCCTCCGGCACTGGGCTGGCTGGTTGGTTGTTGGAGCCACAGCTAGTGGAGCAGTGACAGTGTAGAGGGCATGTTCTGACATTAGCAGCCTGAGGAGGTGCTCAGTGCTTAGCCTGGGGGGCTAGTGTGAGTGTGTCTTGAAAGTCACCATAGTCTCTGAGGGTCAGGAGAGGTTGGCCCAAAGGTGCTCACCTCAGCACCTTTTCCCAGGCGGGAGCCAGGCGTGATGTACCACGTCGCTCTTACACCTTGCTGAGGTCAGGACAATTCCTTTAATGGACTTATTTAAGATTTCTTATTCATTTCACACATCCCTGTCATCTTTTTCTTCCAACCCCCCCTCCCTCTCTCCACTGAAGGAGCCAGGAGGATTCGATTTGGCGCTCTGTTCGTTCTGATTAAGATTAGCAGCAGAAGAGCCCCATGCAGCACCATTTTAGCCTCACTCACTGGCTAACTCCTAGCCATCTTTAATTTAAATTGACATTATATTACAGTTTAATTATGGGGCTAAACTCTGCCATATTAAAGATGTGGGGCCGTGTCAAACTGTACGTAATATGACCACCGGGGGTGTGCGGCTCGCTCATGGGCGGGTTTAAATTTAAGACCGCATCCCAAATGACACCCTATCCCCTATATAGTGTACTACTTTTGACCCGGCCTCAAAGTGCTCTGGTCAAAAGTAGTACACTATGTATGAAATAGCTGACCAGTCCAACATGCTTTTTGACATTGTAGGGTAGGTTTGCTCACCAGGGATTGTAAAGTGGAGAGGAGATAATAAATTAAAAGCGTTATTAAAGTCCTATTATAACTTGGGAGGTATTCTGAAATGTTACGTCGCTCCTGAGCCGACTGACAAGCAAGGTCAAGGCTCATTAGGAAGAGGGGAGAAGAGGGTAGCAGGGAAGGAGAAGGTCCAGAGGTATCAGTGACTGGGCCAGTCTGTGTTAAAGGCTAAAGAGAGACGTCCACCTATTAACCCTGGACATTATCTTTCATCTTCCTGAGGTCTACATCCTTAGCTATCATTAATGTGTTTGTAGATTTTGCATTATAAATCATACAATAACAGGGGATAAAATACTGGTACACTGCATTTTTCAGGAAACATCCTGTGGATATATTTGGCGTACATAAAATACAATAATTCTGTGTCATTTCATTGTTTGAGTATCATAATGATCTAACATTTCCTCCCGTTTCTATGTATATCATATTAATAGAAGATTCTAGCCTGTCAAAGAATAGAACCTGTTCTCTATATTTTTCCCAACATTACATTATGTTTAAATTGCACTGAGACGAACATTCACAGTGACTATAGAATCAGATTTATGTTGGCATATTCCTCTGAAGCGCTGTGTCAGACACACAGACACACACACACAGACGCCTAACTGTGATCAAACGCCTCGGAACAGAAGCGACAGAGACAAACGCGACATGGCATCCCGTTGGTAAAGCAAGTCTGCTGCCACTTCTCATCTGCACTCTACTTGTTAGATCACGTACATTGTGTGTGTCCCAAATGGCACCCTATTCCCTATATAGTGCACTGGTGTTGACCAGAGCCATATGGATCCTGGTCAAAAATAGTGCACTACACAGCAAATAGGTTGCCATTTGGGATGCAGACACAATTATTCCACAATTATAAGGAGGGGGGACTTAGCGGCTGAATATGCTGTGCTTTTGACTGCCACCATACTCTGTCACTGTGCATTAGCTATAATTGCGTCTGAAGACACTGCAAATGAGCCACTCCTTCCCCAAAGCTCTCTTTCGCTATCTATTAAACCCTTTACACTAACGCTCCCCAATAGGGCCCATTGTTGCAACATTACACTGTGCTGCTCTGTCAAGAGGACATGTTATCAGAAACATTAAAATTGTTACATTTACATTTGTCATTTAGCAGACGCTCTTATCCAGAACGACTTACAGAAGCAATTATGGTTAAGCGCCTTGCTCAACGGCACAGACAGAGTTTTCCTAGTCGGCTAGGGGATTTGAACCAGCGACCTTTCTGTTACTGGCCCAACCCTCTTAACTGCTAGGCTTCAAAGCTAGGCCATTGTATTCTTCGGTCACGCTGCGGAGCCAATTCAGACAAGACAACCCTCTGAACAAGAGACAGATACGGTGTGAAGAAACATCTAATCCAACCATGCTAACCATCCCAAAATACTCCCCCAGAGACTATTGTACCTAGTAGCATCCTCTGCCATTTAACCAATGCTTACAATTGGCATTTTAAAGTACTGTATGAAAACATTCTGCAATGGTACAATATGTGTCCAAATGAGGTGCTTGGTATTTGGTAGCAGTGATATGACCAACAGCTACTCCCTATAGTTAAACATATCAGGCGTTTTGTTTGTCACATATTTGTCCCTTCTGAAACAGATTGCAGCGTTTCTAACCCCCTGCTGTCAGTGTATGCGACAGGAGCTCCCTAAGGGAAGGCCCCTCTGTGGTGTCACTCAGCAGCTCATAACTCATGGCTCCACATGACGTGTGTGTGTGGCGGGACAAAGTGGTTGTAGGGAGTTCCAGGGCCAGGGGACATGAGTTTGTGGTTTGTGTGCGTGTGTGTGTGTGTCTAACTGAGCCTTCACAGGGAGGCCTCCCTGCCAGGCTGTGTGTGGGCCTCATTCATCTTGTTGGGCGCAGGGCAGCCAAGCGTCTCCCTACAGCTGACAGTACACACACACACACACAAACAGTCTACCGCAACACTTGGCTCCCTGAGAGGGCCTCAATCAGCGCACATACAATGCTATGACTGACACGCATTAGGACTAACAGCTGTCTCAGCTAACACACACACACGTACTCACACACAGCACCATGTACAGAACTCTCTCACACACACACACGAGAGAGCAGTTTCTCAGATACAGTATGCACGTGTTGAAGTAAACACGTTCTTAAATAAGTCATTAATTGTTCCAGGTCTAGAAAAAGAACAGTAAGACTTGATCTCACTGCCTACCTCTGAATAAAAATCTACCTCCCACTCGTCATTACTGCTAAGGGTTCTGAGGAACTGAGTTATTTTATTTATTTCACTTTTATTTAACCAGGTAAGCCAGTTGAGAACAAGTTCTAATTTACAACTGCGACCTGGCCAAGATAAAGCAAAGCAGTGCGATTAAAAACAACAACACAGAGTTACATATGGAATAAACAAAACGTACAGTCAATAACACAATAGAAAATCTATATAAAGTGTGTGCAAATGTAGTAAGTTATGGAGGTAAGGCAATAAATAGGCCATAGTGCAAAGTAATTACAATTATAATTTAGTATTAACACTGGAGTGATAGATGTGCAGAAGATGATGTGCAAATAGAGATACTGGGGTGCAAATGAGCAAAATAAATAACAATGTAAATAACAATATGGGGATGAGGTAGTTGGGTGGGCTAATTACAGATGGGCTGTGTACAGGTGCAGTGATCGGTAAGCTGCTCTGACAACTGATGCTTAAAGATAGTGAGGGAGATAAGTGTCTCCAGCTTCAGAGATTTTTGCAGTTCATTCCAGTCATTTGCAGCAGAGAACTGGAAAGGATTGCCGACCTAAGGAGGTGTTGGCTTTGGGGATGACCAGTGAGATATACCTGCTGGAGTGCATACTACGGGTGGGTGTTGCTATGGTGACCAATGAGCTAAGATAAGGCGGGGATTTGCGTAGAAGGGATTTATAGATGACCTGGAGCCAGTGGGTTGGGCAACGAATATGTAGTGAGGGCCAGCCAACGAGAGCGTACAGGTCACAATGGTGGGTAGTATATGGTGCTTTGGTGACAAAACGGATGGCACTGTGATAGACTACATCCAATTTGCTGAGTAGAGTGTTGGAAGCTATTTTGTAAATGACATCGCCAAAGTCAAGGATAGTCAGGTTTACGAGGGCATGTTTAGCAGCATGAGTGAAGGAGGCTTTGTTGTGAAATAGGAAGCCGATTCTAGATTTAACTTTGGATTGGAGATGCTTAATGTGAGTCTGGAAGGAGCATTTACGGTCTAACCAGACACCTAGGTATTTGTAGTTGTCCACATATTCTAAGTCAGAGCCGCCGAGAGTAGTGATTCTAGTCGGGCAGGCGGGTGCAAGCAGCGTTCGATTGAAGAGCATGCATTTAGTTTTACTAGCATTTAAGAGCAGTTGTAGGCCACGGAAGGAGTGTTGTATGGCATTGAAGCTTGTTTGGAGGTTTGTTAACATAGTGTCCAAGAAGGGCCAGATGTATACAAAATGGTGTCGTCTGCGTAGAGGTGGATCTGAGAGTCACCAGCAGCAAGAGCGACATCATTGATATACACAGAGAATAGAGTCGGCCAGAGAATTGAACCCTGTGGCACCCCCATAGAGACTGCCAGAGGTCCAGACAACAGGCCCTCCGATTTCACACATTGAACTCTATCTGAGAAGTAGTTGGTGAACCAGGCGAGGCAGTCATTTGAGAAACCAAGGCTATTTAGTCTGCCAATAAGAATGCGGTGATTGACAGAGTCAAAAGCCTTGGCCAGGTCAATGAAGACGGCTGCACAGTACTGTTTTTTATCGATCACGGTTATTATATCGTTTAGGACCTTGAGCGTGGCTGAGGTACACCCATGACCAGCTCGGAAACCAGATTGCATAGCGGAGAAGGTAAGGTGGGATTCTAAATGGTCGGTGATCTGTTTGTTAACTTGGCTTTCAAATACTTTCGAAAGGCAGGGCAGGATGGATATAGGTCTGTAACAGTTTGGATCTAGAGTGTCACCCCCTTTGAAGAGGGGGATGACCGCGGCAGCTTTCCAATCTCTGGGGATCTCAGACTATACGAAAGAGAGGTTGAACAGGCTGGTGATAGGGGTTGCGACAATTTTGGCGGCTAATTTTAGAAAGGGTCCAGATTTTCTAGCCCAGCTGATTTGTAGGGGTCCAGATTTTGCAGCTCTTTCAGAACATCAGCTATCTGAATTTGGGTGAAGGAGAAGCGGGGGGGGGACATGGGCAAGTTGCAGCGGAGGGTGCAGAGCTGGTGGCCGGGGTAGGGGTAGCCAGGTGGAAAGCATGGCCAGCCGTAGCAAAATGCTTGTTGAAATTTTCGATTATCGTAGATTTATCGGTAGTGACAGTATTTCCTAGCCTGCTGGGAGGAGGTGCTCTTATTCTCCATGGACTTTACAGTGTCCCAAAACTTTTTGGAGTTAGTGCTACAGGGTGCACATTTCTGTTTGAAAAAGTTAGCCTTTTCTTTCCTAACTGATTGTGTATATTGGTTCCTGACTTCCCTGAAAAGTTGCATATCGCGGGGGCTGTTCGATGCTAATGCCGTACGCCACAGGATGTTTTTGTGCTGGTCAAGGGCAGTCAAGTCTGGGGTGAACCAGGGGCTATATCTGTTCTTAGTTCTGAATTTTTTGAATGGGGCATGCCTATTTAAGATGGAAAGGAAAGCACTTTTAAAGAACAACCAGGCATCCTCTACTGACGGAATGAGGTCAATATCCATCCAGGATACGCGGGCCAGATCAATTAGAAAGGCCTGCTCGCTGAAGTGTTTTAGGGAGCGTTTGACAGTGATGAGGGGTGGTCGTTTGACCGCGGACCCATTACGGACACAGTGATGAGGGGTGGTCGTTTGACCGCGGACCCATTACGGACGCAGGCAATGAGGCAGTGATCGCTGAGATCCTGGTTGAAGACAGCGGAGGTGTATTTAGAGGGTAAATTAGTCAGGATGATATCTATGAGGGTGCCCATGTTAACGGATTTAGGGTTGTACCTGGTAGGTTCCTTGATAATTTGTGTGAGATTGAGGGCATCTAGTTTAGATTGTAGGACGGCCGGGGTGTTAAGCATATCCCAGTTTAGGTCACCAAGCAATACGAACTCTGAGGATAGATGGGGGGAAATCAATTCACATATTGTGTTCAGGGCACAGCTGGGGGCTGAGGGGGGTCTGTAGCAAGCGGCAACAGTGAGAGACTTATTTCTGGAAAGGTGGATTTTTAGAAGTAGAAGCTCAAACTGTTTGGGCACAGACCTGGATAGTATGATAGAGCTCTACAGTAGATTGCAACTCCGCCCCCTTTGGCAGTTCTATCTAGACGGAAAATGTTGTAGTTGGGAATGGACATTTCAGAATCTTTGGCCTTCCTAAGCCAGGATTCAGACACTGCTAGAACATCAGGGTTGGCTGAGTGTGCTAACGCAGTGGATAACTCAAACTTAGGGAGGAGGCTTCTGATGTTAACATGCAAGAAACCAAGGCTTTTGCGATTACAGAAGTCAACAAATGATAGCGCCTGGGGAGCAGGAGTGATACTGGAGGCTACAGGTCCTGGGTTAACATCTACATCACCAGAGGAACAGAGGAGGAGTAGAATAAGGATACGGCTAAAGGCTTTAAGAACTGGTCTTCTAGTTCGTTGGGTACAGAGAAAACAAGGGGCCGATTTCCGGGCGTTGTAGAATAGATTCAGGGCATTATGTACAGATATGGAAGGATATGAGTACAGTGGAGGTACACCTAAGCGTTGGGTAAAGATGAAAGAGATAGCATCACTGGAGGCACCGATTGAGCCGGTCTCTGCGTGTGTGGGATCTATCTGAGACAGGTTGAGCAGGACTGGGGGCTCTACATTGAAAAAGTACAGTTAGAACTAACCGAAACAGCAATAGGCAAGGCATATTGACATGGGAGATAGGCATAAAGCAGTCACAGGTGTTATTCGAGAGAGCTAAGACAACAGCTGGTAATGGTGACGAAAGTTTGAGCTGAGGCTAAAACAGATAAACAGGATGGGGTACCGTATAAAGGAACAGTCCAGCAGGCATCAGCTGTGTAGCTGAGTGATCATAAGGTCCAGTGAACAGCAATAAGTACGTCCGGGAGAAGTTCAGTGGCTGCTACGCTACAGGCGAGCTGGAGGCACGGCTGTTGATTGCGTGTGCTAGCGGGCCGGGGCTAGAATATGGATCTTCGTGGTCGTCGCAATGGGAAGCCTGTTGAAACCACATCAGACGATTACGTCGGCAGACCAGTCGTGATGGATCGGCGGGGCTCCGTGTCAACACTAGGAGGTCCCGTCTGGTTGACAGAGAGGTAGATAGCTGGGAGATGGGCCTGGCTCGAGGCTAGCTCAAGGCTAACTGGGGTTAGCTTCAGGACAGTGGTAATTAGTGGTGATTAGCCAACAACAACAACAACAACAGCCATTCGGTTGCAGCTAGCTAGTTGCGATGATCCGGTGTTAAGGTCCAGTGATTCAGTGATTCCGGCAGAAAATCCGATATGCTCTGGCTCAATAGCGCGATGTGCAGACTGGCCGATAATTGTCCAGGCTAGAGCTGGCTGGTAGGTAGTGCAGGCCACGGCCACGGACAATGGTGAAGACCGCTAACGGTGGCTAATAGCAAGTAGCTAGTTAGCTGGCAAGTTTCAGCCAGAGGTTTTGGATAAAAATGTATGAAGAAATAATAGAATTCGTTCCACATTGGGTGAGGCGGGTTGCAGGAAAGTATATTTAGTTAAAGGATGGAAAGTGAGAATGAGAAATATATACGAAAAAGACAAGAAAAACTAAAAACAGGCTATTTACATGAGGACACTACAGAAAACACGACCGCACTGCTATGCCATCTTGGAGTGTTGTTATAATAGAGTTCTTAGTTAAAGAGCTCATATAAAGATGAATAACTATAAATGGTTCAAGAAGGACACAGACTTTGTTCAAACGTGGATAGTTTGAGTAATTTTTGATTTCGGACAATTTTCGAGCAGTACTAAAGCTACAAAGTTATACGCAGCCATGTTTTTAAAGCACTTCACATCGTGGGTGAGCTTTATGTGGTAGTTCTGACTACAATGAACTGCTGCTGTTGCTCAAGGGTTGACTTAGCTCAAAAACAAACCCTTTTTGTCTTAGAAAAAGGTGAGAGAGAGAGAGAGAGAGAGAGAGAGAGAGAGAGAGAGAGAGAGAGATTCAGGCGAGTGGAGGAGGTATCAGTGGACTTGCTTGAGATGCTGTGAACGTAGAGAGAGGAAGGAGAAGATAATTGCCTTAGTACTAACGGGCCACGACAGACAGCCGACACACACACACACACACACACACACACACACTCACAGTGGCTGTGCTTGTGTTAATCTCATTACAGTGATTGTCTATGAGAGAGAATGAAAGTGGGGATCTGTAGGAATTATACATGTTGGGGTCGAACATAATGAGCACCATGTAATCCCCAGCAATCAAAGGCTGCCAGAAGCAGCCTGCCTGTACTACACCACTTTGCATTAACGAGACTGACGACAGGAGTCACATTCAAATGGTTTGAGAGTAAGAGGAGGGGGGGGGGGGGGGGGGGTGGAGGGTTTGGGGGGAGCTGACAGTCCACGTTTTCAAATGAGCCACTCAAATTGAGCCTTTAACAGCATCGGAACGAGAGGGGCCAAATTACACAGAGCGAGGGATGAGTGAGGGATTAACGGGGAAACTGAGTGATAAATGGAGAGAGCAGAAGGGAGGAAGAGAGAGTCTCAGACGGTGGTCAAAGTGGTGAAGACGAGGTGCTCAATAATAAATGATAAAGAGGCAAGTGGAGGATTTTGCCTGAAGCCAGTCGGGTCCAGGAAATTAATGTGACATGTTTTTATAAAGAAAGAAAAACATAAAAACACTGAAAATGGTTGGAGAATGCTTCAGAGTGGTGATGTATCGACTGCTCTATGGGTGAAATAAGATGTTGTACTGCCATCTTGTGGAGGAATTAGCTCCAACCTTACAACAACTGCGTCCGTTTTAGTGAAAATGATGTATAGTGTAGCCACTGAAATAACAATAGAGACATCACTTGTGACGTTAAGCACCTAAATTGCTTGTAGGGGACTGTGTGTGTGTGTGTGTGTGTGTGTGTGTGTGTGTAACTCACTCGGTGTGTCCCTGAAACACGTTAACAGAGTGGATGGAGGGGTCTCTGAAGTCCCACAGACGGAAGGTGGTGTCTCTGGACGAGGTGACCACTAGACGCTGGCTTGGATGGGTACAGCAGTGGGTCAGCTCCTGGTCGTGGCCTGGACACACACACACACACACAAAGTATTAAAGATGTGGGTCCATGTGAAACTGTACTTAACATGACATTGTTATGATATGAGGTCAAGGTTAGTGTTAGGGCATAGACAAATACACTATCCAGGATACACTTCAACAATTCATTCCCCCAGGGGGAAGCAGCAACCTTGTACTGGTTCTGAGCCAGGTTGATAAGCACATCAGCGTGCAAGCCGTGAGGCTGCTGGTTGGTTTGGTGGCCATGAGGCCTTTAGCTTGGTTTTGAATCTTTAGTTTAGGCATGCCTGTTTGTATTTTATTTTGTTATATTTCATTTATATTGACAGAGGGGTAAAAAGAACCCTCTGTCCCCCCCACACTCAATCATGAAATTAAACAAACAAGAGAAAAGAGCAGGATTCTAAAACTTTACCCTCACACCCTTTTTTGTAGCCTAGGGTCCGGGACAAATGTGGCCTTTTCTAAACGCATTTCATGCAATTTTACATTTAGCAGAATATTTTTTTATACCGCACAAATGATCGAAATGACAGGCTACTTTGACACTGACAAACAGAATCTGAGATCAATAAAAATGACCTTGTCTTGAATCAATAGCCTAGGCCTAGGTGTGTGGAGACACACATATTGTACAATATGAGAAGGAAATTATAGTCCTAAAAAAGCTTTCCAATTTCACCCAATGATGTGCAGCTCACACACCGGAGATGGCCAATGCGCTCTCTCTTGTTTTACTTTGTAAAACAATGCTGTTCGCTCAATTGGCCTATTTGGAACTTGATCTAATATTTTGCTAGCCTCTACAGACAGATTAGAACAGGGGTGTCAAACGTCCGGCCAGCGGGCCGGATCAGGCCCGCAAACGGGTTTAATCCGGCCCGCGAGATGATTTTGAAAAAAGAATAATAATAATTTAAAAATAAAAATAAAATAAAAATGTATTTTTTATTTTTTGTAAAGTATAAAAATGCTGCTGTTCCAATTGCGTCCACTGGATGGCGCAATAGCAATTGTGTTAAGCAAGCAAACTGTTTATACCGGGGCAGAGCAAGTAGGTCAAGCACGTGCAGCCAATGAGCTACTTTGTTTTGCCCGCGATATTTATTACGGCTTCTACTTTTAACATTATGTGCTTTGGCACCCTCATTGCCCCAATATGTCTCTGTCAAAAAAGAGAAAATTGGACGCAGAGTGCAGAGTGTTCCAAAAAAATGGTCATCCTATTTATTCACGGAATTGAATGGGAAAGCTGTATGTTTGGTGTGTTCAGAGCATGTTGCAGTGCTGAAAGAATATAACCTTCGTCGCCACTATGTGAGTCTTCATGCCGACAAATATGACAACTTTCAAGGACAGCGGAGATGAGAGAAGGTAAATGAACTGTTGGGGGGTCTGAAGAAACAGCAGTCTGTGTTTACTCACAGCCGAGACATCAGTGACGCTGCAGTGAAAGCTAGCTACCTCATTGCAAATGAAATCGCAGTGGCTTCAAACCATTTAGTGAGGGTGAAATTTGTTAAAAAATGCATGATGAAGGCACGCGGAGATTGTGTGCCCTGAAAAGCGTCAGGCTTTTGCAAATATCAGCCTGAAAGAAACACAGTTGCAGACAAGGATTTCCGATCTTTCAGGTGGTTTTGGACAGCCAGTTGAAGCAAAAAGTCATTTATTGCGTTTCGGTTGCAATTGATGAAACCAGGACATTACAGATGTTGAAACAACTGGCCATTTTCATCCGCGGAGTTGATGCCCACATTGACCGCACCGAGGAGTTCGTGGAGTTGGTGCCGAGACAGATACAACGACAGCAGCTGATTTTTTTACCGCACTCGTCGGCGCGCTGGACAGGGTCGGAGTGGACTGGTCCCGCGCTGTCAGCCCGGCTACAGATGGTGCGCCCTCATGATCGGGAAAAAGCAGGCGTTTGGACAAGTTCAGAGAGAAGGCAATCTGCAAATGGAGGAGTGATTTTTTGACTTTTCACTGTATTTTGCACCAGGAGGCTTGTGTTCAAAATCATTAAAGATGGATAACGTCATGAAGGTGGGCATCCAAACTGTTTTAATTCATCCGATCCGAAGCCTGAATCACCGTCAGTTTGACAGCCTTCTCAGAGAAAGACCACATCTATGGCCTGCCATACCACACTGATGTAAATGGTTTAAGCCGAGGTGCTGTGCTGAGGCGTTTCTTTTATTTACGAGAAGAAATTGAAACAGTTCATGGAAGAAAAGGGCAAAACCAGTGTTAGAATTTCATTCCGCAGAATGGATGCAGGACCTTGCATTTATGGTGGATTTTACAGAGCACCTGAATACTTGAACAAACAGCTGCAAGGGCGCAACAAAGTTTCACGCAGTATCTCAATACTTTGTTATATACCCTTGTGGCAATGACACAGGTCAACGTTTTCTGTAAGTCTTCACAAGGTTTTCACACACTGTTGCTGCGTATTGCCCATCCTCCATGCAGGATCTCCTCTAGAGCAGTGATGTTTGGGGCTGTCGTGGGCAACATTGACTTCAACAACCTCCCAAAAGATTTTCTATGGGGTTGAGATCTGGAGACTGGTAGGCCACTCCAGGGACCTGAAAGGTTCTTACGAAGCCACTCCTTCGTTGCCCGGGCGGTGTGTTTGGGATCATTGTCATGCTGAAAGACCCAGCCACGTTTCATCTTCAATGCCCTTGCTGATGGAAGGAGGTTTTCACTCAAAATCTCACGATACATGGCCCCATTCATTCTTCCTTTACACGGATCAGTCGTCCTGGTCCCTTTGCAGAAAAACAGCCCCAAAGCATGATGTTTCCACCCCCATGCTTCACAGTAGGTATGGTGTTCTTTGGATGCAACTCAGCATTCTTTGTCCTCCAAACACGACGAGTTGAGATTTACCAAAAAGTTCTATTTTGGTTTCATCTGACCATATGACATTCTCCCAATCCTCTTCTGGATCATCCAAATGCACTCTAGCAAACTTCAGATGGGCCTGGACATGTACTGGCTTAAGCAGGGGGACACGTCTGGCACTGCAGGATTTGAGTCCCTGGCGGCGTAGTGTGTTACTGATGGTAGGCTTTGTTACTTTGGTCCCAGCTCTCTGCAGGTCATTCACTAGGTCCCCCCGTGTGGTTCTGGGATTTTTGCTCACCGTTCTTGTAATCATTTTGACCCCACGGGGTGAGATCTTGCGTGGAGCCCCAGATCGAGGGAGATTATCAGTGGTCTTGTATGTCTTCCATTTCCTAATAATTGCTCCCACAGTTGATTTCTTCAAACCAAGCTGCTTACCTATTGCATATTCAGTCTTCCCAGCCTGGTGCAGGTCTACAATTTTGTTTCTGGTGTCCTTTGACAGCTCTTTGGTCTTGGCCATAGTGGATTTTGGAGTGTGACTGTTTGAGGTTGTGGACAGGTGTCTTTTATACTGATAACAAGTTCAAACAGGTGCCATTAATACAGGTAACAAGTGGAGGACAGAGGAGCCTCTTAAAGAAGAAGTTACAGGTCTGTGAGAGCCAGAAATCTTGCTTGTTTGTAGGTGACCAAATACTTATTTTCCACCATAATTTGCAAATAAATTCATTAAAAGTCCTACAATGTGATTTTCTGGATTTTTTTTTCTCTATTTGTCTGTCATAGTTGACGTGTACCTATGATGAAAATTACAGGCCTCTCTCATCTTTTTAAGTGGGAGAACTTGCACAATTGGTGGCTGACTAAATACTTTTTTTCCCCACTGTATGTGGAAAGAGGGCGGAGAACAAATGACCAGAAATAATGCAAAAAAAATTTGATTCATTGGCCACCTGCGTTCAGTCGTTTATTGCAATGGAGGCTTGTTTTGCCAGACAAATTTAGAGACTGAGGAATGCAATTTATTCCAATATCCAGTCGGTGGTGGCAGAGGGAGCACTGAGTTCAAAAAGTTAAAGTGTGGAAGGATGTTCATCTTGATAATAGAGATCAGTGATTGGAATGACACCACGTCTTCGAGAATCTTGTTGTAATTATTTGTAACTATGGATTGGACTATGGGGTGGATATCAACTCCCAGGTATCTAAACTGTTTAACTACAGGGATACCAAGTGTTGCCATCAGGGCGTAAAATGTACTTTTTGGTCCACCATCCACTGTGGAAGGTAGATTTAAAAATCTACCAGCCACTGATTTATTTCCAGGCAATATATTTTTTACACTAAAATCACACCAACAAAACAAAAACAAATGAGCATGCTTTGTAATGTTTCTGAAATAGTAAATGTATTACTAGTAAGAAGTAATGTGGTATATTGTTTAACAAAAAATCTTATGACCAGAGTCTTTTGACCAAAATATCACAGATGAGACAAAAAAAAATAAACGTTTACCGTGGTAGCGCGACTCGAGTCATGTTTGTGCCTGTGAGATTGCCCTTACAAAAAAAATCAATTTTTAAACTGCAGTAAAAGTGCAGTAACTGCAGTTGACTGTGGTATTTTGGATGCAGTAATTGCAGAATACTGCAGTTATACTGCACTCTAACTGCAATCGTTTTTCGCAAACAGTTGAAACTCAAACATAGAAAAACAACCTAGTTTGTGAACAAAACAATGTAAATCGGCAAGAAACACAAGGACAAAGTCTCACTTCAGTAGACTTTCATTTCAAGTAAATTAGACAAATTTTTATGCCTGTGTGCAGCACTTCTAAAAATGAATCTTACACTCAGCTCTTTACGTGCGCACAGCTCCTAGCCAGGCAATGTTACAGGAAGAGGTGGAATAAGCTCTATAGCAGGGGTGTCAAACGTCCGGCCCGCGGGCCAGATCAGGCCCGCAAACGGGTTTAATCCGGCCCGCGGGATGATAAAAAATAAATAAAGCAATAGCAATTGTGTTAAGCAAGCAAACTGTTTATACCGGGGCAGAGCAAGTAGGTCAAGCACGTGCAGCCAATGAGCTACTTTGTTTTGCCCACGATATTTATTACGGCTTCTACTTTTAACATTATGTGCTTTGGCACCCTCATTGCCCCAATATGTCTCTGTCAAAAAAGAGAAAAGTGGACGCAGAGTGCAGAGTGTTCCAAGAAAAATTGTAATCCTATTTATTCACGGAATTGAATGGGAAAGCTGTATGTTTGGTGTGTTCAGAGCATGTTGCAGTGCTGAAAGAATATAACCTTCGTCGCCACTATGTGAGTCTTCATGCCGACAAATATGACAACTTTCAAGGACAGCGGAGATGAGAGAAGGTGAATGAACTGTTGGCGGGTCTGAAGAAACAGCAGTCTGTGTTTACTCACAGCCGAGACATCAGTGACGCTGCAGTGAAAGCTAGCTACCTCATTGCTAATGAAATCGCAGTGGCTTCAAAACCATTTAGTGAGGGTGAATTTGTAAAAACATGCATGATGAAGGCAGCGGAGATTGTGTGCCCTGAAAAGCGGCAGGCTTTTGCAAATATCAGCCTGACAAGAAACACAGTTGCAGACAGGATTTCCGATCTTTCAGTGGATTTGGACAGCCAGTTGAAGCAAAAAGTAAAGTCATTTATTGCGTTTTCGGTTGCAATTGATGAAAGCACGGACATTACAGATGTTGCACAACTGGCCATTTTCATCCGCGGAGTTGATGACACATTGACCGTCACCGAGGAGTTCGTGGAGTTGGTGCCGATGACAGATACAACGACAGCAGCTGATATTTTTACCGTACTCGTCGGCGCGCTGGACAGGGTCGGAGTGGACTGGTCCCGCGCTGTCAGCCTGGCTACAGATGGTGCGCCCTCAATGATCGGGAAAAAAGCAGGCGTTGTGACAAAGTTCAGAGAGAAAGTGCAATCTGCAAATGGAGGACGTGATTTTTTTTGACTTTGACTTTTCACTGTATTTTGCACCAGGAGGCTTTGTGTTGCAAGTCATTAAAGATGGATAACGTCATGAAGGTGGTCATCCAAACTGTTAATTTCATCCGATCCAGAAGCCTGAATCACCGTCAGTTTGACAGCCTTCTCAGAGAGAAAGACCACATCTATGGCCTGCCATACCACACTGAGGTAAGATGGTTAAGCCGAGGTGCTGTGCTGAGGCGTTTCTTTGATTTACGAGAAGAAATTGAACAGTTCATGGAAGAAAAGGGCAAACCAGTGTTAGAATTTCATTCCGCAGAATGGATGCAGGACCTTGCATTTATGGTGGATGTTACAGAGCACCTGAATAACTTGAACAAACAGCTGCAAGGGCGCAACAAAGTTGTCACGCAGTATTATGATAGCATACGTTCTTTCAAGTTGAAGCTGTCATTGTGGGAGACGCAACTTGCCGGTGGTGATGCAGCTCACTTCCCCTGTCTGAAAAATGTGTGCGCGACCCAACATGTGGCAGACATGAAGCGGTTCAAAGATAAAATAACGGGACTGTTACGGGAGTTTGAGCAACGCTTTCAGATTTATGTTTATATGTTTTTATGTTGATGTGCTATTGTTTTTAATTGATTTTATTTTATTTGTATATTTAACCTATTCTTGACTCTGTGGTTCTTGCACTTGTTTGGGGAACAGGATTTCATTATTTTTATCTACATTTCTGCCTGAGAAATGACACCCTGATATAGTTCTGTGATCTGTGAAACAGTTCTGTTAATCACTGAGGCATTGTGTGTTTGTGTGTTCTTTTTCTTCAGAATTTTCAAATAAACTTGACGTGTTTTATGATTAATAGTGATGTTGTGCTTGTACTATTTTGGACACACTGTCCTCAGGCTCCAGCTTTATGTTGATCGTATTAAAACAAAGAAAACAATCTGAAGTTGTTGTTTTTAAGTTATATATATATACCATGATTTTTCCGGTCCGGCCCACTTGGGAATAGATTTTCCTCCATGTGGCCCCTGAGCTAAAATGAGTTTGACACCCCTGCTCTATAGGATTCATACAGTGGGGAAAAAAAGTATTTAGTCAGCCACCAATTGTGCAAGTTCTCCCACTTAAAAAGATGAGAGAGGCCGGTAATTTTCATCATAGGTACAAGTCAACTATGACAGACAAATTGAGGGAAAAAAATCCAGAAAATCACATTGTAGGAATTTTTATGAATTTATTTGCAAATTATGGTGGAAAATAAGTATTTGGTCACCTACAAACAAGCAAGATTTCTGGCTCTCACAGACCTGTAACTTCTTCTTTAAGAGGCTCCTCTGTCCTCCACTCGTTACCTGTATTAATGGCACCCGTTTGAACTTGTTATCAGTATAAAGACCCTGTCCACAACCTCAAACAGTCACACTCCAACTCCACTATGGCCAAGACCAAAGAGCTGTCAAGGACCCAGAAACAAAATTGTAGACCTGCACCAGCTGGGAAGACTGAATCTGCAAAAGGTAGCAGCTTGGTTTTAAGAAAACACCTGTGGGAGCAATTTTTAGAAATGGAAAACATACAAGACCACTGATAATCTCCCTCGATTTTGGGGCTCCACCCCAAGATCTCACCCCGTGGGGTCAAAATGATCACAAGAACGGTGAGCAAAAATCCCAGAACCACACGGGGGGACCTAGTGAATGACCTGCAGAGAGCTGGGACCAAAGTAACAAAGCCTACCATCAGTAACACACTACGCCGCCAGGGACTCAAATCCTGCAGTGCCAGACGTGTCCCCCTGCTTAAGCCAGTACATGTCCAGGCCGTCTGAAGTTTGCTAGAGTGCATTTGGATGATCCAGAAGAGGATTGGGAGAATGTCATATGGTCAGATTGAAACCACAATAGAACTTTTGTGGTAAAAACTCAACTCGTCGTGTTTGGAGGACAAATGGAATGCTGAGTTTGCATCCAAAGAAACACCATACCTACTGTGAAGCATGGGGGTGGAAACATCATGCTTTGGGGCAGTTTTTCTGCCAAAGGGACCAGGCGACTATCCGTGTAAAGGAAAAGAATGAAATGGGGTCCATGTATCGTGAGAGTTTTGAGTGAAAACTCCTTCCCATCAGCAAGGGTCCATTGAAGATGAAACGTGGCTGGGTCTTTCAGCATGCAATGATCCAAACCACACCGCCCATCCGGGCAACGAAGGAGTCGGCTTTCGTAAGTAAGCAGTTTCAGGTCCATGGAGTTGGCCTAGCCAGTCTCCAGATATCAACACCCATAGAAACTCGTTTGGAGGGAGTTTGAAAGTCCGTGTTGCCCCAGCGAAAGCCCCAAAACAATCCACTGCTCTGAGGAGATCTGCAATGGATGGAATGGGCCAAAATACCAGCAACAGTGTGTGGAAAACCTTTGTGAAGACTTACAGAAAACTTTTGACCTGTGTCATTGCCAACAAGGGTATTAACAAAGTATGACAAAACTTTTGTTATTGACCAAATACTTATTTTCCACCATAATTTGCAAATAAATTCATTAGAAATCCTACAATGTGATTTTCTGGAATTTTTTTCCTCATTTTGTCTGTCATAGTTGACGTGTACCTATGATGAAAATTACAGGCCTCTCTCATCTTTTTAAGTGGGAGAACTTGCACAATTGGTGGCTGACCAAATACTTTTTTTCCCCACTGTAGTTCTTTGTTTTTGTGCGATTAATTTCCCAGCTATGAAACAAAACGTCAGCAATACTTTGAAAACAGCTACTGCAGCATTTATTTTACTATAAATGTGATCATACTTTAATATTTGTATTCACAACCCTTGTGAAAAAGATTGCAGTCAGAGTGCAGTATAACTGCAGTATGCGGCAAATACTGCGTCCAAAATAACCTTTTTTTTACTGCAGTAATTTTGCAGTGTAAATGCAGTTAGAGTGCAGTATAACTGTGTCTCTGTGTCCAAAATACCACAGTCGACTGCAGTAACTGCACTTTTACAGCAGTTTCAAAACTGCATTATTTTTTTAAAGGGAAATGTCGCTGGTGAAATAGACATCTTACCTGCCAATGCCAAAATCTACCCGCATTTGGCAGGTGTTCATTTTAGGTCCTGGTTGTCATTGGATAATCTCCCATATTAATTAGAGGTAAAAAGGCAGACTTGACCCAGTAGATTTTATAGTAGTTTTCCTTTTTGTATATATTTATTTTCGTCCCCATCTGAACATAATGATCCGCTTGGAAAGCCGACCAAGAGGTCAAGATGGAGCTTGCGCTGAACTTGGTAAGTTGCTGTCTCCTGGGCACATGTGCATCCAACACTGTCGATTTCTCACATAAATGTACCCATTCATTCAGGTTACAGACCATGTTACTAGGCCTAGGACCCCTAGACTTAGCGAGTGCAACAATATTGGCAGGCTAGTTTTTTGGTTTTCGTAACAACAGCCAGGGGCTCGCTCGGGCGCAGGTTTGAATCTATTTTTGACATTGTAGCGTTGCCCACCAGAGAATGCAGAGGGGAGAGGAGATTTCATTGAAGAGAACCATTGATAATACATATGCATAGTCTGGATGTGTCCGTCCTCTGTGCCTACCTGTCAGTGTGTGGACCAGCTCGGAGGTCTCCACCTCGTATAGGTTGGCAGCCCGGTCCCAGGAAGCAGTGACCACCTGCTTGCCCCCCACCAGCCAGTCTGCAGCGATGACCACCCCTTGGTGGCTCTTCAAGGTGGTGGTGGCCACACGGATGGTTGGGACCTCACTGCACGGACCTTCCCCGTCCCCGTCACCATCCTCCCTGTCTGAGAAGTCCAGCTCGTCGTCACACAGTGCCTAGAGCAGCGGGGAACAGAGTTTCTTTACAGGCCCCTTATCTTAAATTGTATCTCCTGTTCGTTCATCATTTAGGAGTATCTATGAGTGATTTAGAGGTATGAAAGGTGTGTGTGTGTGTGAGAGAGAGGATAGTGTATGAGTAAATGTATGCATGAGAGATGTGATAAAGGGTGGTGAATGAGTGAGTTGAGGGAGTGAGTGGGTGGGTGGGGCTGTGAGTAGATGACAGGGGATGAGACTCACGCTGATATCTGCTAGAGGCGGGATGACGGGCAGTTGTACCATGTAGCGCCAGATGTGAGCCGTCTGGTCCCCAGACGCTGAGGAAACACACACACACACGTGAAGACACACGAACACACACACACGAATAAACACAGATGGACTGAGAAGCGTCACTTTAGCAAACACACCCCCACACACACAGGCAGTCATCTATCACATCTCATAGTTCTAATGATGTGCCAACTCACAGCTACCATAGCAAACACACACAGAGAGAATAGAGATTATGAATGTGACGATGAAACACGTCAAAATGGAGGGAAAGATATGTGAACACTCGCTGATGAGAGTCATGTTTCAACACATCTGTACTGAGGTGACGGCACAGTTGAACAACAGTTAAACAAGAACAGTTGAACAACAAGCAACAGCTGAACTAGCTACAACAGTCACACAATCTACAACACAGATTAACACCTGCATGTGGTGTATTCGTAGCATCACCATACATTAGCATACCTGTAAGGGCCATCTGTTCCGTAGGGTGAAACTTGATGGAGTTGACTGATCCTGCATGACCAGCATATCTAAGCAGACATTTCCCTGTCTCTATACTCCACAGAGCAGCAGAGTGATCTGTGGGGAACATTGAAAAAAAGTTACAACCTATTTATCCAAAGCTTTATGGCAAAACATTTCCCAGCAAGTTTTATCTCAAAACACCTCCTAGCACAATTCCAGATTCCAGTAATTAGATAATGATGCCCACCTCTTCATATGTTAACATGTAGCCTAAATGTGTATGCGTTTTTCTTGTGAAGTTTGTTGTTTATCCTTTCAAATGTATACATTTCAATTTCAGGTCCACCTTGGAGGTGACATTTCTGACCTGCTGATGCGGTCCCCAGAACCACAGGTGAGTTCCGTGTGACTGCTAGGTCCCAGATGCCGTCCCGGTGGCCCACATACTCCCTCAGGATCTGACACACAGCTCTGGATGTGGTGGCTTTGAAACTGGACACTATCTACCGAGAGGAGACACCACAATGTTCTCACTCACTAACCACACATTGGTGCTGGATAGGCCAGTTTCCCCCTTACTATGTAAAGCGCTTTGAGTACCTCAGTTGGTAGAATGGCGCTATGTAAATCCAATCCATTATTAACACACCCACTCACTACTACCCTGTGAACAGTAACTGTGCCTTATTCAGACTCAAAAGCACCATTATTGAACAACCAGTAAACAAGAATGTAGCCTATGGTCAAAAGCAGAGAAAAATAATTGGAAATAGGGTTCAGGTTACAAATAGTGAGTTTGCCATAAACATACAGTACAACGCGTAACTGTGTACTTAAATATTGAAACAATGAAAAGCTTTCAGTCTATACCGATCTGTTCACTCGTTCAATAAACTTTTGCGGGAGAGGAAGTATTCATCTAAACCACAACTCAGTTACAAAAGGGCTTTTGATAGCAGTAAATCATTACACGAGCTCTAATGATCTTAACAGCTAGAATGTTTACATAGAAGCTTACTCTTATTTCCCCATTCTAATCAACGATGAATGAGCGCCAGTGTGTAACACAGTGTGTAATCAAACATACCTTGCTCGTGGAGGCTTTGTAAGTGGTCATCAGTTTCTGAGAGAGCTGACTGGTACTGTGACTGGCTGTGTATGTACACAAAGATGAACACATGGTTAGATCGTTAGAGAAACAGGTTGGATTTCTTTCTTAGAGGAAGGCATAAACACCTCTAAACTATAAAAAAAGATGTATATATATTCATCTCAACCTTGGCTTTACTAATGTGTCAGCCCACATAATAATACTGTGATGAGATTCAGACCATATGCAAAGATAACAAAACTGTACCTTGTTTATTTTAATGGTTTAACACTAGAGTAGCAGTTATATTTACTATTCTGTAAGTAAATGCTACAAGAAAACCAGTGAAAATAAACTAGCAAATAAATTCATCAATTAACAATATCCAAGCCTATAACAAATGCAATTCAACTGTATTATCCCTCAAGGGAAGACTAAATACTATACTTCAGGTTAACTGTACCTTTCGCTTTCAGAGCTCCTTTGCTCAGCTCTCCTCCGTCTATGGTTTGTCCTTCGGATACTAAGCGCTCGTTGAGTGTATCAATTTCCCGGCGCACTGCAGAATTAGCGCACACACACGGTTATCGGACAACACAGATGACAGACAGCCACCACAAAACCACAAGGAAGTCAATCAGCTTCCTCAAGATCAATATTTCACCCCACAAACATAAAACAAACAGGTGGATGAGTGGTAGACTGTGGTACCAAATCAGTCCCCGAAAGGGGGCAGACATTCCTTCCTACAATACTTCCATAACATTATCCATTGATCAATTACTGTCTGTATGTAAATAGGCGAATCAATTATCATCCATTTTGGGCGTTACATTAAATACACATGATATGCCGTCTTGTTTTCACTTACATTCTAAGTTTTCAATGTAGAGATTCTCAAACTCCCGCTCTATCTGTCCAAACAGGTCTAGTAGATTGCTCCGCAAGGATAGGGGCAACTTGGAGTCCTGCAAACAAACAAAAACTGTTCAAGTCAACATCATCAAATAAACAGCACAGTTCTGTATCCATTCTGTTGTTCTGCTGTTGCTTGTGTTTGGACAGAAAAAGGGAAGAAGTTTTATTAATCAACTTCACACTCTGACAGGCAAATATCTATCCAGACATGACAAGCCATTGTTTTCTGTAACTGATGCAAAATAGTCACCAAGTAACTTCACTAACACAGATGTCACTACCGTAAAACCAAGTTACAACAGACAGTGGTCCATAACAAGAACTAACACAGCCATAAATGTCTCATTATAAAACAATAATATCGAACTACCTTTTGTTCTGACTTACCAGTACCTCCATTCTCTACAACTCACAGTTCCCAGTGAACAGGTTGCATGCATGCAGATCAAAACTATGCAAAGACAAGTAGGCCACCATGAAAAGTCATACGGTTTTAACAGCTACTGAAACTGCTGCTATCCATATAGCTTAGTCACTAAACTGTAACATGAAATTAGGAAACCAAATAGCCTATCTCTCAGTTCTTTAAATTGACACACACGTTCAAGTGCACGAAAGTGAGCGAGAATGAGGTTAACCACTCTCTCGCCATTCAGTCAACGACACATTTAAACACACTATGTTGAAAGAAAAAAAAGGAAAAAGGCAATTAGCAGCAAACAACAGTCAGCCCCTTAATTCTTTCAAAGCTGCTCAATCATGTGCTTAAAGACCTACGCCTAAAGATCTCCTAGGTTACCGAGTGAAAGGCTATGAGGGCCTAACCTCTAGTGTAGCAGTATACAGTGGCTGGCGGATGGATACGGTCAACAATGAGCCAACAGGTACTGGAGAGAGAGCCTTGATGAAAAGAATACTCATACCTGCACAAGCGGACGGTATTAAAACTTGATGAGACAACAGCAGCTTGTGGTACTGTTACTGTATGCTCAGAGCAAATAGACTGGACAAACAGGCTAATGACAGTCTATAGAGGGACTGTCTAGAGAAAAATCATAATAACCGATGCCAGTCATCTGAAAACAATATAACCTAGACCTAAATATACTGAGGTGATGCTTATTCATCATGACTACTCACACTTGAATAGGCCTAATAAAACGTTTTTAGGTTTTTTTAGATGGACAAAGGCTAGCCTACACAATTTATTAACAACGGTAAAACATTGAGAGGACAAATTCTAACGTAATTTCAGTTTCTGCTTTTGTACTGTACTGCTGTCAACTTCCTTTTTTATTGGTATAGTGATAACATGGGCTTGATCAAACAGTAGGCCTAGGATTTATTACCTCACTGACTGTGAGGTAGCCAACACTGTGTTTGCATCAGGGATGGTGCCCGACTGTCTGTCTCATCAAAAGGCTCTTAGTCTTGCTGTTAGAGACAAATCAACTGTGTCCGAGTATTGTGAGACACTATCCAATTGATCGTGGAGGTATGGTTAATCACTAACTTATTTAACTTAAATATTAAGCCAGGAATTGTAACTAGAGATAGGCTAATTCACTTATTTAATGTATTGAGTCAATAATTTAACATTCATGTATTTTCAGCAACTCTAACACTAAAGTAGACAATGTCTTTATACTCTTCTCTGAAGGAGGCTTTTCATTTTAGGCTTATTTTTAATAAGGTTACTACCATGGCTAACTACACACATTTCATTAACTAGCCTACACACATACTGTGTACACACTTGACTAACTATACACAGGTTTCAGATTCAAAATGAAAACAACCTAGGCTAAATATACACCTATCTGCACCTCAGTCCCCAAGGGACCCTGAGACACATGATGTATGTCTACACTTTCTCTGAGAAAGTACAACATCTTACTTAAAGCATAACACTTGAGTTAGCCATGATATTGTAACACCAGGTAGAAAGCCTGTCGCAAAAACCGGCCGGTACTGTCCTCTCTCCCTTATAATATCACACAAACAAACCTCCCACCAACAAACAGGTTGACAATTGACATGCTAATCAACATACAATGGTTAGCTTTTTTTTTTTTTACTGTAGTGGTTTCAATTTCAGTAGTACATCTTACCAAACGGACTAGCTAACATTACAGGCCGTCATTGTAAATAAGAATTTGTTCTTAACTGACTTGCCTAGTTAAATAAAGGTTAAATAAATAAATAAAAATTACAAACAGATACAAGCTTACTGCTTTTTAAAACGTTCATATGTTTTAGAGAACGAGAGCATGTGTGTGCGCATGTATGTTTGTGTATTGAGATACCGTGTGTGCTGTTTGTGTGTTTACTTTGTGTGTGTTTACTGCGGTAGTCAGCTCACTCACCTGTCCGTCCAGCATATCCCTCTGCATGCCTGTCACTGTGCGCTGCTCCTGGTCAGTGCTGTTGCTGCGCCGAATGGACAGGCTGTGGGACTTGCGCTTCTGCTTGGTGTGACGGGCGGCGGCACTGCTTCCACTCTCTACAGGCATTCCTCCTCTGTGACGTCCTCCGGTTCACTTCCTACCTGAGGCTGAGCAAACACAACCCATGGTTCAACCCTGGCTGTCAGCTTTCACGTTACTGCTCTCTGCTGTCGCCTGGAGAAAGACTGTGTCCTAAATGGAACCATATTCCCTATATAGTGCACTACTTTTGACCATAGGTCCCTACATAGTGCAATAATTTTACCCTGGTCAAAAGTAGTGCACTTTAAAGGGAATAGGGTGACATTTGAGACAAAGCCAGAAGCTTTATTGTTCTTATCATAGCACTGCTGGTTAAATACACTTTCTTGTAGCTACAGCAATACACTTCCCTTGTACTGTAGCTACAGGATAGTAAACATTCACTCTATCTAGGCAAGTTATCAGGAAAATGAGAATGAGTAAATTGTCCATAGACTAGACTAGATCAGTAGACATTCAACATGATCATGCAAAAGATGTGAGCATTTGAAAAGCCAAAGAAAACACAAGACTAGGGCTGCGTCCCAAGTGGCATCTTATTCCCTAGTATAAAATGCACTACTTTTGACCAAAACCCTGTGCTCTTGTCAAAAGTAGTGCACTATATAGATAGGGAATAGGGTGGTATTTGGGACGTGGAGATGCATACCATTAGTGAGTAGCAGCATGACAAGTACATTGTTGCATCCTAAACTGGCAGTTAATGAAGGTGATCACAATGATGTGGGTGGCCAGTAGCCTAGTTTCCACAGTTGATGGCGAAAGCCCTCAAAGACACCACAGGCTGGACAGACAGATGGAAAAACAAGATGTCAATAAATGGGCAAAAGAGTGATCTGGAGAGCAATTTGCCTAATAAATCAGACTTCCACACTCAGATTCGAAAGAGGCAAGACAGCAATGAGAACACAACAAATGTTAAACAACGTATTGATAGAGATGATGCATCGGTAGTAGGGGTTGTTTGATTTTGACTTGCCTTACTTTTAGCTGTTAGCTATGTGAATTAGTTAGCTATATGAGAGTTGTCATGAACCAGTCATTAGCTAAGAATGGCATGTAACTAGCTAATGTTTGCATGCGACCTGTTATAGTCATGCAGACAGGCCTTCATGCAGTGGCTATGGTTAGCAAGGCTGCTTTATATATCAAGGCCATTCTACCGGTAGTTAGCTAACGTTAGTTGGAGTAAATAATCAGATGGAGAACGCAGCTAGCTAGCACCGATTTCTAACTAGCTAGCTAACCATCTAGAAAGCTAACTAACTGGCTCTGAAATATAGTTTTTTCAACAAAATAGTACTCTAACTAAGCTACTTACTTTATAAAGGTAGCTACGCAAGTGTCATTTGAAGGTCGTAGAAAAATAGAGGGAGAGAGCACGTACATTTCCAGAAAATTGGCTCTCGGGTTTATGATACGAGTCGGCTCTTCACCGCTCATGAATCAAGCGCCGTCATACGACACAAGCAACGCGAGGCTTTGGTGGACGAGAAAGGCAATCAAGGAATTGTCAAAAAGTTACGGATTTGATTTGACAGTCGTAGAGATATCTCAGACAGTTAGGGGACACAGACAAATATCTAATGTATTGTGAGTAGCTAAAAAGTTGTAAATTAATACATTTTAATACATATTTGACTGTTTTAGCTTACGTCACTTTCATAAAACTGAGTAGGAGAGATGCCGCTGTGCTGCTATGTCATGTGATAAGGCATACGTTTCCCATCACTAGCCAATACGATTTCAGTTTCTGTAAGAACCAATTATCAACTCAAACGTCAGCGATGAGCAGTGTTTTACAAGGAGACTTGCCAATGTGTGTACTGATAATCGTCGGAAGCAGAATGTAAGTAAAAAGTCATTTCTAGTGCTGAAACTGCATTGTGCATTTATAAGGAGTTGTGCTTTCTTATCGGCGATTGTGTAGACCGTATTCTACGTGGATAAGTCGTTGTCCAAGGTTTAATTCTACTTGAAAGCGGGAGGTGGTTCGATGGCGTGTTGGCGACCCCATCCTATCTGATTGGTCTGGCGATGGTGCGCGGCTTGTGGGCGGTGCTTCGGGTGGTGTCAATCGAGGGACGTGCTTTGTTAAAGCCAAATATACCTGTTTCTGGAAGACTAGGCATTACAAGAAATCCTCTATTTCACTCCACGTCTGTCTCTTTGAGGAATCTATCAAGGTATGTATTGGCTTGTTACTGACATGCATGCATTTGTTTATTCTTTTGCTGTTGTCTGCAGCAGCGAACGCATCATTTCTAGTGTCTGTTTATTGTGCTACCGTTAAACGTTACATGCGCCTGTTGTATCGATAGCCTAGATAGGCATGTATTTAGAGCCTTCTTGCCTCATATTACTGTACTTGAATTCAACTATATCTTCAAATCATCTGCAATCTAAATATTATATGCACGAATAACCATTCCAATGTAGGCCGGAAACCTGTACTGCTATAGGCGCCCATCTGCTAATCAAATCATTGTTGTTCTGCTCAACAGTGAGGTGAGAGAGCTGCGAGGGTCTGCTGTCGGGATGCCTGAAATAAATACGGATAATATGGACAAGAAGCAGGTCCAGCTGCTGGCAGAGATGTGTATTCTTATTGACGAGAACGACCAGAAGACTGGAGCAGACAGCAAGAAGAACTGCCACCTCAACTCTAATATTGACAAAGGTAGACTAACAGCCCTATGGCTATGTGTCATCTCTGATTATTGCTGATCTATACCCCAGGTGTCTCTCAAATTGGTCAACATTGTTGCCACTCACACTGAGATGGAGTGATTATGAAGGATAAAAGAAACAACCACATTGTAGGGCCTGCCCCAATTTATGTGTTCTCTGTCACCATGGGGCCGCATGGCAAATTGCCCCAAAACGCAGAAGGACAATGATCAAGGGTCAGTCCGCCCTTCTCTAAGCTCTATACGCCTATAATAATAATGTGGTGTGACTTCAGTTTTATGCCTTGTATGTGAGTTCAATCATTTTACAACTTTATAAAATAATACTTGCGTTTTGCATTCGCCTCTCCTTGATCTTAGTCAGCTAAATTCATAATACTTGATTGCACATTGTTTAACTATAATATTAAAATGGAGTCAGATATGAAATGTAAATTATTAAACAATATTTAACCCCCTACAACATTTGCTCTATATACTACAAATACGAAAGCCGTGTTGCAAAGCCATGCAGCTCACAGTCATGTTGAATGGTAAAATCAGATCTCTTCTGCTCCAGGCTTATTGCATCGTGCATTCAGCGTCTTCCTGTTCAACAGTGAAGACAAGCTGCTCTTACAACAGAGATCTGATGCTAAGATCACTTTTCCAGGTCAGTAAACAACCCAATGACTCTTAAACACTAATGCTGATAGTCATCAGACCAGTAGTGGAGTAATGACTGTTTCCCTCCCTGTTTCTGTTCAGGGTGTTATACCAACACATGCTGCAGTCACCCCTTACACACATCCAGTGAGCTGGAGGAGCTAGATGCCATCGGGGTGAGGAGAGCTGCATCAAGACGACTGGAAGCAGAGCTGGGAATTCCCATGGATCAGGTACAGCTCTCATAGGTTATTCCCAGATTATTACAATGTAATAACCATTTTATCATGTCATTTCTTAGTAAATATCTAGTAATTTGTGCACGGTAAATTAAAGTGCAACTGGCTTTGCTTTATGGAGTATATAGTATTGAGACAGTGTTTGAGAGCTTTGAAATATGTATGCTGTTGTAAGATTTAGCTACCGTATGTTTGATAATAGTTGCCCTTTGCTCATCTTTGTTCTAATCATGTCCAATGGTTCACCCTCAGGTTCCACCAGAGGAGATGACCTATTTAACCCGTATCCACTACAAGGCCCAGTCAGATGGTGTGTGGGGGGAGCATGAGATCGACTACATCCTCTTCATGCAGAAAGACATAGAGGTGAACCCAGACCCCAACGAGATCAAGACCCACTGTTACGTCACCAAAGAGGAGCTGAAAGAGATGCTGAAGAAGGCCAAGAACAACAAGTTATTGATCACGCCCTGGTTCAGCCTCATCGCAGAGACCTTCCTCTTCCAGTGGTGGGACAACCTGCAGAACCTCAAACAGTTCATGGATCATGACAAAATACACAGGATGTGATTCTGCGTAGGATGAGAATCTTTGGTTACCTTCCAAAATGGCACTCTATTCCCTAGGGGCCCTGGTAAAAAGCAGTACACTACATAGGGAATATGGTGCCATTTGGGATGTAGACATTGTTTGTGTAGGGTTTGCATGGAAAGCTGCTATGAGGGACGTAGGGTACTTGTTTTTAGTCTTACTAGAGTTTGAGGGTTGATACTTTTTAGATTTCTGTAAATTGAATAGAAAGAATGATGTGGTAGGAGTGCAATTCAATCCCTGAACTGAGTGAAAATAAAATGGAATTGACCCCGTTTAAAAAAGGAATGATTATGAGGCTGTATTGAGGTATGATTTTTGTATAGCTTGTACTGTATAGCATATCTTTTATATAGGAGCTATATAAGTGCCTGACTGTCACTGAGGCTAAGGTTGTTAGTAATGTTGATTTTAGCAATCTGGCACAGTTTCCCATTTCCCATTGTATAGTAATGTAAATTGATTATGAATAAGCAGAATTTTTGTTGCGTTTGACTTCAATAAAATATCTAATTAGGGAATAAAATAATTTAACAAATTGGGGATTTTAACAGGTAATAGAATATTTTCTGAAATAGAGCCAGGTACCTCTGACATGCACTTCACACCATTGAACAGTAGGTGGCAGTAAACACACACCGTAGTTTCAAAAGCTCATTTACTGTGCTTTTTTCAGGAATGCGTTCAACTGTGCTGTGCCTCAACCTTTCCACATGTTTGGTGTTGAAATTCCACAATGTAAAAATGCCTCCATGCATATGTTCACTACTTTTACATTCAACAACAACATTTTAAAAGTTGTGATTTTGTGCTCCAGGGTGGTAGTCCTTTTTAAGATGCTTTCTTGCGTCTGCTTCCTTGTATGACCTGAAAAAATGGTTTAGCCAAAATCAGGTCACATGCTGGGTAGTGGGCCCAGATAAATTGAGAGATGCCTGTTACATACACAGTAGGCAATGACTTGAAGATTAAGGTAAGAGCAGAAATTGCTGCTCTTATGTCAACTGCTCTGTTTCCAGGGGTCCCTAGTTAGCCAGTGTGACTGTGTAAGCATTTGTGTTGTCTCTGACCGATAGACATATTGGTTATGTTCGAAATGGTACCCTATTCCCTTTATAGTGCACTATAGAGCTGCAATTCAATCATCCTCCCTGTCAGAGCCATGGGTCAGTCCGATTGCTGTCATGTCTGCGCAGCCATCAGGCTACCTTCTGGCCCCAACTTTATTAGGTTAGAGGGTTTCCTGAAGGGTTATCAAATCCTGCAGTGCATTCACCATTTCATATCATAAACTATGCACAATTTCCATCAGTGTTCATTGTTTTGTAAAGGAGACTGATGTAACTGATGTTTTGCAGTGATTGAACAGAAATTCTGGAATTTGTGTAAAAATACTATTGTACAGCCAAATACCGTACCAATTAACATTTGTCAGGATTCTATAACACTCTCTGGCATTATAATTCACTGTTTCTTATGCTTTACCAAAGCCATATATATGTAGCTTATCCTATTTTTTGCTTTTGCAATTTTGTTTTTGCATTTGCGACCCAACTTTGCATCCCAAAGATGTGTTGTTGCGTCACGTCACATGCGTGATGACGTCCACTTTTCCCGGAGGGACTATCGTCAGCGTTGTACACCAGTCTGGCTTATGACAGTGGGTAAAAGCCAGTAGGATATCTTTCACTATACACAACCAGAAATGTCAACATCTATGATGATGAAACTGAACTTTAACGTGGAACGAGTCCATCTTGTGGTGAGTAACGTTAGGCCGAGAACACATGTTTGCTATCTCGTACTTCTGTGCTGTTGAATGAAGCACAAAGTGTCTGCGGTAACGTTAACTAGCTAGTAGCTAACGTTAGCCTTGCCAGATGATCAGCTTGCTGACCGACAGCTGACTAAACCGAATGAGAGCTTGATCTTTCGAATAGCTATTATATGAATTAAATGGCAAATTAGCTAGCTACATAATGATGGCTGGAACTCTTTTACCCTGTTTTCAGTGATGTAACTAACCTTTGCTCCAGCTTGTACAAAAGCTAACAATTTTAAACAATCAGTACTCAGCCAAGGTACCACTTGGCGCCTCATTATGGAGAGAGCCTTTCATGTTTACAACTCCTCTTTACCTCCCTACATGAGTTCTGTTTTACAGTCAACAAGAAGTTCATTACACATCACAGGGTTAGGCAAGATCACATTTGCAGCAAAGCTGGGTTATGACTTTTATGTGTGGAAACATGAAATAGTCCAAAGACTTTTAATATGAAGGTCCTTATGAGGTTATTAACTCTGAACACAAGACCTAGCCCACCTGTGTGTGTATCTGTGAGTGAGACACACAACACTGTGGCTAGCTAGCTATGTGGTGTGCTTCTGTGAACAAAGCAAACCAGGACATAGCTAGGAAGACATTGATCTATTCAGCCTTTTCTGCAGCAACACAATCCATCTGGGATGTTTATTTGTGTCACATGTATTTTAAGCCTTGTCTTTAATCTATAAATATCAGACCACACACACTCCACTGACTTACTCAACCATGCTCAATTAGTGCGCTGTCATTATGTGTTTCCCAAATGCCACCCTATTCCCATTGTAGTGCACTACCAATGGGCCCTGGTCAAAAGTAGTGCAGTATATAGGGAATAGGGTGCCATTTGCGATGCAGCCATTGACTGGCAGGGAGCTCTGTCAGACAGACACCAAGCAGTCAATACAGTTCCAGGCTGTAGGAAAGCATTTTTATTGTTCAAGGGACCATTCTCACTTAGACCCCCCATACATTTTACTCAGCCACACAACTATCAATTATAAATGACATCTGGCTTCATCAACAATTGATGTGCCTCTTGGTTGCAATTTGCAAAAAGTTGGCCTCATTCAGGGGACAGTACTGTATTCACTAACATTATCAATGTACAGTATGCTGCTTCCTTATGATCAGCAAGCAAAAGGTGGGTTGATAAGTCAGTTTTATTTTCTGTATCCTCTGTATTTTTTACAGGGTGCTGGATCCTAGAGAGAGAGCGTACTGGCCTGTCTGTTTTCACCAGCTCCTCCTATGCTGCCCTGCCAGTTTACCAGGCTGTGAGAGTGAGAGTTCAGTAGGAGAGGTGGGTGAGGAGGGTTGGGGTATCTGACAACCAGAGGGAAGACACAGACAGCCCAGCCAGATGTCCTCGCCCTTCGTGCCAGTACCTGTCCCCATCAGAGATAGGACCCTGCCAGGGGCCAACGGAAAGCCCAGGCGCGGGCCTCAGAGGACCTCATCTTTGAACAGTGTCTCCAGCAGCTCTGAGTCCTCCTCCACTAGAGGCCCCAGGGATGAGACCCTGGGCCCTGGCCGTGACCCTGGGAGGAGAGTGAATCGAGTCGGAGGGACTCGGTCCCAGAGCTCAGAGAGAGGCTGCTGCTTCACTTCTCCACCCTCCCTGCTGCAGTGTCAGAGCCCAGTGACCCGGGCCAGGCTGAACGGGCTTGGGATGGACCCCACGGTGGAGTACTCCAGCTCCTCCTGGACAAACATGGACCAGGAATCGCCACCAGGACCTCCAGGGTCCATCACAGGGTCCTCAGACTGGGAGGAGAGGCCCATCACCCCCACCGTGCTGGGCTACGAGGTCATGGAGGAGCGGGCCAAGTTAACGGTGAGAGAGAGGGAGGCAATTCTTAGCTTGGTCCAAGATCTGTTTGTGTTGTCTTGCCTATGGCTATTGTCATGCAAGGAGTTGGCTTTACAGCACAGATCTGGGACCAGGCTATGCAATTTAAACATGCCATGAAGACAGTGACCAGCAGGAAGCCTAGCTATATGCCAAACTCAACTAGTCAACAAACATTTCTTCCTTATTTTAACCACTTTTTCCCTAGTTGCAAGTCATTTGAAATATCCTTCCTTTCCATTTTGATGACTGGGCCTGTTGTGAATGTTGTTGCTGTCATTAATATCATTACTGGATATTTTAAAGGGATACTTCGAGATTTTGGCATGCTAGCAGATACCTATAGACTTCCAGTCATTGTGCTAATGCTAGTTAGCATTGGCTCACAAAACTAGCTCTAACTTCCTTCATGCTGGACACAGAGACATAAAAATGGTATCCACGAGTTCATCTGACTCCGGGGAAGTATTGCCAAAATTGCCAAAATCCCAAAGTATCCCTACAAGCTCTGAGCTAAGCATGGAGTGGCAGAAATGACCAGTTGGCTTTAGTTAGGCTACATTAATATTCATTTATCATGGTCTGTCAAGGTTAGTCTGTTTGTTTCCTGACTGACGTGTCCCCAACTCCAGCTCATTATGGTCAATGCCTGTCGTCGTCCCCCCCCCCCCCCCCCCCAGGCTATTTCTTATTTCCTGTGTGTTTAGAGTTTATCCCAGGTGGCTAAGGTCTGGTCAACAGTCACAAACCAAATTCTGCTATAGATCACTGTGGATAGTCTGTAGTTTCTGTGACTGTGGATAGTCTGTAGTCTGCGCATAGTCACTCTGTTGTCAGTGGATAGTCTGTAGTCTGTGGATTGTCTGTAGTCTGCCTTCTCCCCCTATGTTTGTTCCCGTAGATGGGATTAGAAGCCCTGTACTGTTCCTGCTGTCTGGACAGATATTTAGGAGTGTTAGGGAGATGGAGGTGCCATTGGATCAAGAACAGATTATTAACGCCAGCCGCCTGCCAAAAGTGGCAATATCATGCCAGGGCATGGCCGGAGGTGAGGAGAGGTGTGTGAACTGCTGGATGTTATTAGGAGCGACTGAGGGATGTGTTGGGAAATAATTTCAGAGGCAGGATGATGGCTCTGACTAGAGAGTGGGAATGTTGGGCCCAATGTGAACTCGTGTGAAATCATGCTGATCTGATCATGATCTCAGTACTGCAGCCCTGCCATCAATAACCATTTGTTAACCCCCTGCATCCCTCTCATCCAGTACAGATGGATGATGATACAGCGGGATAAGGATTTGACTCAAAGCAGCTGAGTGGTTGCACATTCTTCTTCTCTCTCATTTATAGTTTGCTACATTTGGGCGACTATATTATTGAAGGCCTAACACTTTTGTTTAAAGTGTTCGCTGCGCATGGCTTCAAGTTGTATATTCATCATCTAGCCTAGTTGCAGATTGGTACTGCAGTGGAAAGTACTGCCCCTTCCACTCAGAAACAGCCGTTGTAATTTCACTCTCCAGCAGCACTTTAATTAAGGGGAATCAGAATCTGCTGCTGAAGACGACAGACACTCACTGATTTAAAGGTCAAGTCCAGTAATTAAGACTCCTAAAATGGCTTCTGCATTCCCACTGCTTTCTCTGAAGGCTATCTAAAATAGAATGCATCATTTGCAACAAGTACACAATGTCTCATATCCTTTCAGTCTTGATTTGATCTTACTTAGGGTAACTCCAAAATGGTATCCTATTCCCTATATAGTGCAATACTTTTGACCAGAGCCCTGGTCAAAAGTAGTGCACTATAGTGAATAGGGTGCCAATTGGGCCGCAACCTCAGTTTGTGGACATAATGCACACATGATGATGCCAGGTTTCTATTAGATTTACAGCCTATTAGTCTCCCTTTTGCACTGTGGCCCTGTTGCCAGTTAGGTACTGTTCTCTCCTGGCTTCCAAATTCCTGCTAACCCTGTTTGATATTAGTGCCAGTGTGTTCCTGTGAGCCTTGGCTGGATCACCTTCTCGGTCGCTCTGCATCAGTCTATCCTCTCACTCAGACACACCGCTCTAAACAAACCCCAGGAGTTGGACTTAGAAATGTTTATCAGGCTTAGAATAGCTTTTGGCATCAAAGGTGTTCCATAAAACCCCAAATCAGTGAGGTGTGTCCCAAATGGCACATGAAGTCCCTATTTAGTGCAATAATTTTGACCAGGGCCAAAGTAGTGCACTATATAGGGAATATGGTGCCATTTGTGACGCAGGTAGTGTGTTCTGAAAGCCTGTGGTTTGAAATGACTGAACGGGTCAGAGATAGATGAGGTGAAGAAATGATAAACGTCTGACTTTCTTAAAAATACATTGGTTATGAAAGGGAGAAAGTAGGCTATTCTAAAAAACAAGCTCACATCCATATTGTTTTTGTCTCTTGTTATTACTAAGCTTCTACTATACGTCTTTACTAATATTGAGAAAATAATTATCTGTTAGATTCAGTCTCAGGTGCACTGTGCTGCTGTGGTTTAAAAGGAAACAAGTTAATCTATGACTGTAATTGAATATAAGATAACTGCCATCATAAGGTCAAAGGTGAGCTGTTAATGTGTGTGTGGTCTCCTCCTGCTGCAGGTGTATAAGGTCCTGGTGAGGAAGACTCAGAAGGAGAGTTGGGTGGTTTTCAGAAGATACACTGACTTCTCCAGACTCAACGACAAGGTATGTCCTCACTCCTGTCTTTGGACTGTCCTGGGCCTCATAGGAGAAAGGGTTTGTCTGATGAATGCACCAAAGTCAGATTAGGATATAGGCCAAGGACTAGATAAAGTGTATTTTTACCTGGAGTTTTTCCTTTATTGTAGGCTACTACTTTTACCACTTTTAGTCTTGAAATCTTTGGTTGTTTACTACACTACTTACTCTGTTTAGCACATGGCCTCACATGGGAATCCTTAAAGAGATGGGTGGGGCCAAGGCTTAAGAGGGTGTGAACGGTGCTGAATGGGTGTAGACAAAGAGCTCTCCAGTAGGTGTACCAAAACATTCACGGGTCATTTTCTCAAAAGTGGGGTTACAAGTTTATCAGCTTTCAAAGCAGATTTACTTTACCATTGTTCCTCAACTGCAGTGTATGATATACCGTTTTCTAGCTCTGAGTATCTACCTTTATCCAATGTAAAAAAATACTATTTCAAATGTTGTTACATGCATTCACCTGTATTGTGAATAGGCCTAGGCTACATCTTCATTTGCCCAGTTTATCAATAGAGATTTACCATTCAAATAAATTATTAGCATTATGTTATGGAGCTAGATTGGTCAAAAATCAAATTCAAATTGATTGTATGATTGTTTATTTAATTAATGCATACATAAAAATTCAAAAATTTCAAATGTAATGATCTTTAGATCTGTCTGGATCAAGTTCCATTCTGTGACTTTGGCCAATATGCCTTTATTTGTGGTATTGTTTTGGTATCGCGTATCGTAATGGTATGGACTATGGTGATAATAAACCTGGTATCGCGTATCGTAATGGTATGGACTATGGTGATACTAAACCTGGTATCGCTATCGTAATGGTATGGACTATGGTGATACTAAACCTGGTATCGCTATCGTAATGGTATGGACTATGGTGATACTAAACCTGGTATCGCTATCGTAATGGTATGGACTATGGTGATACTAAACCTGGTATCGCTATCGTAATGGTATGGACTATGGTGATACTAAACCTGGTATCGCTATCGTAATGGTATGGACTATGGTGATACTAAACCTGGAATCTCTATCGTAATGGTATGGACTATGGTGATACTAAACCTGGTATCGCTATCGTAATGGTATGGACTATGGTGATACTAAACCTGGTATCGCTATCGTAATGGTATGGACTATGGTGATACTAAACCTGGTATCGCTATCGAAGTAAGAATGTTGGTATTGTGACAACACTACATCCAGAGCTGCCAACTCGTTGAAGTAGAAATTGTCATCCAAATTAAGTTTAGTGATCACTGTTCTAATGTCCAGAAGGTGTTTTCGATCATAAGAAATGATGTCCGAGACATTATCTACAAAAGTTTATTTTATTTTTATAGCAGAATTGGTCAGGAGCTGCTAACCACTGCAGTGCCAGTGCAGTGCTGTGGGAGAGACAGTGTGTAATAATCAGTACTGTGGGAGAGACAGTGTGTAATAATCAGTACTGTGGGAGAGACAGTGTGTAATAATCAGTACTGTGGGAGAGACAGTGTGTAATAATCAGTACTGTGGGAGAGACAGTGTGTAATAATCAGTACTGTGGGAGAGACAGTGTGTAATAATCAGTACTGTGGGAGAGACAGTGTGTAATAGTCAGTACTGTGGGAGAGACAGTGTGTAATAATCAGTGCTGTGGGAGCAGCCCTTTCGTGTTGGAGAGCAATACAGAAATTAAGTGAATCCCCTCTGCCCCCCCCCACCCCCCCAGTACACAAAGAGCCAGTGTCCCAACAACAACAACAACAACAACAACAGCAGTAGCTTGGCCTAGCCAGCCACAGGAAGCCACCTCCTAGCGGGACAGGTCAGAGACAGACAAGGGGAGAAAGACCATGTGAATTAGGCTAACAACCATGAAAGTCTTATAGCTGAAGTGCTTTATGTGACAGCCATATCATCAACTATTTTCTTAAATCTAGGCTATCCTCTTCTGTTTATCACATTGTGAAGAGGCCCCATGTAGCTCAGTTGGTAGAGAATGGCGCTTGCAACGCCAGTGTTGTGGCTTCGATTCCCATGGGGGGGCAGTATGAAAATGTATGCACTCACTACTGTAAGTCGCTCTGGATAAGAGTGTCTGCTAAATGACTAAAATGTAAAAATGTAAATGAAGAAGTTGGCATGATAGTCCTATCAAGGAAACACACTGCCAACAATGCCATTTAGATAGGCTACTACGTTTTTCTGTTAGAAATAGTTCTAGTAATAACACACAAAGGCTACAGAAGGCTAAATGCCGACTATACGCCTACAAATCAGGTTTTGCAACTGGACTGTAGCTTGGGGTGTGATAGGAAAGGCAACACCCTCCATCAGATACACAGAGGCTGTGGACAGGCTGCACAGCCATTCCTGTGGTCTCTCTCTCTCTTTCACTCGTTAGAGGAGAGAACTAACTGATCTGGACTCATATTCACAAAGACTCAAAGTAAGAGTGCTGATCTAGGATCAGGCTTATTTATGATTTAAAATATATGTACAGTGGGGGAAAAAAGTATTTAGTCAGCCACCAATTGTGCAAGTTCTTCCACTTAAAAAGATGAGAGAGGCCTGTAATTTTCATCATAGGTACATGTCAACTATGACAGACAAATTGAGGAAAAAAATCCAGAAAATCACATTGTAGGATTTTTAATGAATTTATTTGCAAATTATGGTGGAAAATAAGTATTTGGTCAATAACAAAAGTTTCTCAATACTTTGTTATATACCCTTTGTTGGCAATGACACAGGTCAAACGTTTTCTGTAAGTCTTCACAAGGTTTTCACACACTGTTGCTGGTATTTTGGCCCATTCCTCCATGCAGATCTCCTCTAGAGCAGTGATGTTTTGGGGCTGTCGCTGGGCAACACAGACTTTCAACTCCCTCCAAAGATTTTCTATGGGGTTGAGATCTGGAGACTGGCTAGGCCACTCCAGGACCTTGAAATGCTTCTTACGAAGCCACTCCTTCGTTGCCCGGGCGGTGTGTTTGGGATCATTGTCATGCTGAATAATTATGTTATTGTTTGAAGAGTTCTGCAGCAGAGTTGACATGGATGTGTTTTTGAAAGATCAACAACACATGCCCCTCCCCTGTTGAGCAAACAGGCATTGTTTGGTTTTCCTGGTCATAACAAACCATGTGATGTTACATTTGTTCAGGGTGTGATGGTGGTGTTATTGCGATAATTGGCCCATGTTTCTTTCTCTCTTTTCCGTGTGTGTGTTTGTACGTGTGTGTGTTTGTACAGTGTGTACTGTGTGTGTTTTTAAGATAGTGTGTGTATCAGTGTTGCTTTTCCCCTGCCCAACCTGTCTCTGTCTGTGAGTTTCAGTTGAAGGAGATGTTCCCAGGGTTCAGACTGTCTCTGCCTCCAAAGCGCTGGTTCAAAGACAACTACAACTCTGACTTCCTAGAGGACAGACAGCTGGGCCTGCAGGCCTTCCTGCAGAACCTGGTGGCACACAAAGACATCGCCAACTGGTGCGTGTGTGTGTGACTGCGTGTGTGTGACTGCGTGTGTGTGACTGCGTGTGTGTGTGTGTTTGACTGCGTGTGTGTGTGTGTGACTGCGTGTGTGTGTGTGTGAACAGAGATGCTTTGAAACACAGAAGAAATCAAAATGTATTCAAGGTGCCTCATCATGCAGTGCACACCTCAACATTGCTTTGAGGTTACACACACACCCACACCCACACACACACACAGCCTTGAGGTTACTGATGGACTTGCTGGTTGCCCATGACCTGAGACACAGACTTAGCACCTGGCCAACAACAATGAAGGTCTATGGAAACAGCTGAATGTATCCACACACACTTTTATCAGGCTATATTAGAGTTATGTAGTCAAGGTTAAAAGCATACATTACACAGTAACTGTATTTAGCGTTGTAATACAAACCTTTTATGATATCCTCTCTAGTTTCCTTGGCGGCAATGCTGCTGACATGGACAGCAAAACCTATACCCAATCCATCATAGATACACTGTCTTTTGGGGGAGTGTGTGTGTGTGAGTACCCTGAGGTTGTTTGTTTGGTAGGGAAAGATAAGTTCCTGTTGGTTTTTAAAACTCTTCCTCCTTCCTTGTGTCTTTTTAACAGCATAGCGGTGAGGGAGTTCCTGTGTTTAGATGATCCTCCAGGTCCTTTTGACAGTCTGGAGGAGAGCCGGGTAAGAATGATCTTCTGTTACCAGCATGCAACTTTAAGTAGACTTTCACCAAAGCCTATTGAGAAGTCACATAGACCCAAACGAGACCAGCTCAATCCAGTTTCTGCAGTGTCGTTTGTTTGTGTGACCCATAATCCTGGGAGTAATTTGGGACAGGCTTTGTTGTTCTCTATCTGGAATGAGCCTCCGATGCCAGCACCACATCTAATTAGCATATCCACTCATTAGCATAACTGTCATTAGAATAGATTTTACAGTTTTGGTTAGTGGTGGATTTGGATTTGGCTTCCTCTCCTCATACACATTTTTGTTCTGAATGAAATATTACCACTACCTTTTTTAAAACCATGTATATCTTTATTTCCCATAGACAATTCAACACAATCACAATCGCTTTTTTGTCTTTTAATAATTTTAAGCATTTAAACACTTAACAAACACTTAGGCCATGCCCTGTTGTTACCTCATATCCCAGTGATAATGCCTTGAATTACGCCTGGGAAGAAAACACTTCAATTTGCTCAACTTGCCATAGGCTCAACCATTGGCCATTGGCCCAACTTACCCCAAGGCAAACATGTAAACTATATTAGACACACAGCTACAGGGATACACTACATCTGCATTGCTTGCTGTTTGGGGTTTTAAGCTGTATTTCTGTATAGCACTAGGGCTTTATAAATACATTTGATTGATTGATTGATAGGTTAACTACCTCATATTGAAGCTTATAGAGACCCCAACTGATGTATAGAACAATCTTAAAATGATCTACTTAGATTCATTATTCATTATTTATTTATTTAACCAGGTAAGCCAGTTGAGAACAAGTTCTCATTTACAACTGCGACCTGGCCAAGATAAAGCAAAGCAGTGCGATTAAAAACAACAACAACACAGAGTTACATATGGAATAAACAAAACGTACAGTCAATAACACAATAGAAAATCTATATACAGTGTATGCAAATGTAGTAAGTTATGGAGGTAAGGCAATAAATAGGCCATAGTGCAAAATAATTACAATTTAGTATTAACACTGGAGTGATAGATGTGCAGAAGATGATGTGCAAATAGAGATACTTGGGTGCAAATGAGCAAAATAAATAACAATATGGTGATGAGGTAGTTGGGTGGGCTAATTACAGATGGGCTGTGTACAGGTGCAGTGATCGGTAAGCTGCTCTGACAACTGATGCTTAAAGATAGTGAGGGAGATAAGTGTCTCCAGCTTTAGAGATTTTTGCAGTTCGTTCCAGTCATTTGCAGCAGAGAACTGGAACTTGAAACTTCTAACACAATAGATTAATTTGACTTGGTGGAAATCTGTTTTTTGGACCTAACTTGCTTTTTCTATGTGGTTTTGTCCTGTACAGACTCCATGAAATGATGACCTCTTCCTAATTATTTGGTGAAATTATACATTTTGTGTATGGTTTCCTAGAAATAAGGGCGGCTCAATTTACCCCTTTGGTTTTTTTTGCAATGTCGGTTGTTGGAGCCCCGTGTAGCTCAGTTGGTAGAGCATGGCGCTTGCAACACCAGGGTTGTGGGTTCGATTCCCACGGGGGGCCAGTATGGGGGGGATTTTTTTTTGCACTCACTGGATAAGAGCGTCTGCTAAATGGCTAAAATGTAAATGTTTTTGTCCTGTCACATTTTCATCACTCAGTGTCTCCCTCTCGCTCTCCCCCTTTCTCTCTTTCTTCCCCCCCCCCCCCTCCCCCCAGGCGTTCTGTGAGACTCTGGAGGAGAGTAACTATCGTCTGCAGAAAGAGCTGGTTGAGAAGCAGAGAGAGATCAGCTCCCTCAAGAAGAGACTGGAGGAGAAGGACCATCACATCCACCTGCTGGAGAAACGCATCAAGTACTGAACAACACACACAGGTTTACTGCAAGTGTGTTACATGGCTTATGTTTCTAGGGTGTGGAACTGATTTTTGTGTGTGTGCATGTTTAAGCAGGGAGTCTCTGACCCCAGAGAGCCAGAGTGGGCTGTCAGCTCAGGGCAGTGATAGCAGCGTAGACGCAGACGGAGACGTGGAGTCATCAACCGCCGAGGCAGACCAGGAAATGATGTCAGAAGAGAATGGGTAAGACACACATACACACACATATATAATCAAGGTTTCACTATATCCCGTAAGTTAACATTGCCTCGATTAATTATTCAAGACACTATTCACAACCATGGGCTGATGGGGTTCCGCGCTTTTCTAACTCATAGCTGATTTTTCACTGCACTACACGCGCACTCTCATCCAGAAGCCCTTTTGTATAATGCTCAAACTCCCTTCATTCAGTTAGCTGTCTTTTCAAATGATCAACCCCTCTTCCTGAAGACCAGCTGGCATCATGCCACCTGTTATAGCAGTGGCCATCACAATCAATCTCCTCAAAGTGAACTGTGCTTGTGACTTGAACTTCAACTGCCGTTAGCTGATTTTTGCTTGAGTGTCTCTTTAAAGCGGCATACTACTGTTCTCCCCTCCCCCAGAGCATTAACTTTCAAAAACAGAAATGACCTTAAAAGCCTTTGTGAAAACAGCAACCCACACCCTCCGAAATTAATTTTCCTAATGCTAGTGAAGTAGTGAAGGTAGCTAGCTGGGAATGCAGTGTAGAATACCAAATAACTATCATCTGTCATATCAAGCCATGCAGTGTGTTTTCTCTATAGTCTTCCAATGAAAAATGCCAAAGCCTTGAGGATTGCAGAACCGACAGAGCTGTGTTTAGTGGTTGGGAAAGAAAAGACTGCATCAATCAGATTGAATAGGAGATATACAAATGTAAGCAAGGTTTGAAATGATTATGTTTTAGTTAAAAATTGTATCTGTCTGGGCTTCTTGCGGTCAATTTGCAGTCTACAAATTATTAGTAATTATGTTCTGGCCCCCTGACCATCTGCTCAATAAAAAATTGTCCCGCAGCTGAATCTACACTGAAGCAATATATAAACACAACATGTAAAGTGTTGGTCCCATGTTTCATGAGCTGAAATAAATGATCCCAGAAATGTTCCATACGCACAAAAAGCTTAGGTCTCAAATTGTGTGCACAAATTTGTTTAATATGCCATTTAGCAGACGCTTTTATCCAAAGCGACTTACAGTCATGTGTGCATACATTTTTACGTATGGGTGGTCCCGGGGATCGAACACACTACCCTGGCGTTACAAGCGCCATGCTCTACCAATTGAGCTACAGAGGACCACATTGAGCTACAGAGGACCACATCCCTGTTAGTGAGCATTTCTCCTTTTGCCAAGATAATCCATCCACCTGACAGGTGTGGCATATCAAGAAGCTGATTTAACAGCATGATCATTACACAGGTGCACCTTGTGCTGGGGACAACAAGAAGCCACTCTAAAATGTGCAGTTTTGTCACACAACACAATGCCACAGATGTCTCAAGTTTTGAGAGAAAGTGTAATTGGCAAGCTGACTGCAGGAATGTCCACAAGAGCTGTTGCCAGAATTGTATGTTAATTTCTCTACCAAAAGCCGCCTCCAACGTTGTTTTAGGGAATTTGGCATTACATCCAACCGGCCTCACAACCACAGACCACGTGTATGGCGTCGTGTGGCGAGAAGTTTGCTGATGTCGACCTTGTGAGCACAGTGCCCCATGGTGGCGATGGGGTTATGGTATGGGCAGGCATAAGGTACAGACAACGAACATAATTGCAATTTTATCGATGGCAATTTGAATGCACAGAGATACCATGACGAGATCCTGAGACCCATTGTTGTGCCATTCGTCCACCGCCATCACCTCATGTTTCAGCATGATAATGCACGGCCCCATGTCCCAAGGATCTGTACACAATTCCTGGAAGCTGAAAATATCCCAGTTCCTCCATGGCCTACATACTCACCAGACATGTCACCCATTGAGCATGTTTGGGATGCTCTGGATCGACGTGTACAACAGCATGTTCCAGTTGTTGCCAATATCCACACCGCAATTGAAGAAGAGTGGGACAACCTTCCACAATCAACAGCCTGATGAACTCTATGCGAAGGAGATGTGTCGCGCTGCATGATGGTGGTCACACCAGATACTGACTGGTTTTCTGATCCACGCCATACCTTCTTTTTAAGGTATCTGTGACCAACAGATGCATATCTGTATTCCAAGTCATGTGAAATCCATAGATTAGGGCCTAATTAATGTATTTAAATTGACTGATTTCTTTATATGAACTGTAACTCAGTAAAATCTTTGAAATTGTTGCATTTATATTTTTGTTCAGTATAGTTGATGATCCCTGGTCTAAAGGGCTGTGTGTAGGGTTCATTGCAGAGCCAGACAATGTGGACATACAGTAGATTGGATTGGTGGCAACAGCAGGGTTGGTTCTGTCTTACTTTGTTGAATGACGTTGACCTTGACCATATCCTTCCTTTGTGTTTTTCCCTCCATGTTACGCAGCTGTGCAGCCCCTATCTGAGATAGAGTGCACTAGTTGGAGGTTCTGAATACATCACACCATATGGGTATCATGTATGCTGTTCTTCCCTGCCACACCCACTATGTACCCTGGTCCTTCCACATGTTGTTCCATGTCTTCTACCTGTTTCCTAGTCCACCCCTGTGTTGCTGTGTAGTTAGGGCCTGTGTTGATCTCTTAGTGTTGAAGTTTCCCTTCACTCTCTGGTGTCCTGTTGTTAAGTGTGATAATGGTGTCTAGTACCATTGTCCATATCTTCTGACTGACCTGTGGGTCTTTACTCCAGACTATTTACTTATAGTTCCTTTCACATGTGCAGTGATGGTCTCGGTACTTCTTCTGGTGTGTCTCGATGTGTTACCACTGTCTTTTATAAGTGAGATTTGTTTGTTGAAATGTTCATCCCCTCTTCAATTGACCTACACTGGTCCATCTATTCTACTTACATTTTCTATATTCAATTCTCCCCTCTATCTCTCCAGGAAGTGTGAGGCCCACCAGTCTCTCCGTCTCTCAGGGTGTTGGTGTGGACCTGCCACTGGCAGCTCTCCGCCCGTCATCGAGGTGACCCAGGTGTGTGATGCTCGGCTGGAGCACTGAGCCACCGGGGACAACCCTGCTCTCCTCTCTCTTCCTTCCTTCTCTCTTCCCCTCCTTCCCTCCATCCATCCCCCCCCCCCCTCCTTCCTTCATGACTGTGATCACTGTTACTCAAGGATCTTGGGATTGAAACATTCTGAGGGTGGGGCTTCGGACGTGATCCCCCCGACATCGGTTCAAGTTCAGTTTGTCGGCAGGATAGTTGATCAACCCCCTGCCTTGCTCAGACTTCCACAGACCCTGGCCACTGTTTGTCAGAGAGAATATAAATTGGATGGGGGCACTTTATTCAGTAACACCCCCAGGTCTGATCAGCTTCCAGTTAACCTGACTGGACACAAGGATACTGACAGGAGCAGAGTAGGGACACTTTATTCTGTAACACTCCTTCAGTGGCTAATTTGTCCATATGAAGTTGTGGATAGAGTAAGTGAGGGACCTTGCATAGACCTGCAGGGACACTTTACTATGAAACACACGTTGTTTTTTTTTAAAGGTGAGGGCAGTCCTCAGATTCACCTAGTCAATTTGCTAATGGAAGCTTGAAGACAATACATCCAGCTCAGACTGGTGCAGCCAGATGACGTGGGAGGAATGCATCCATCAAATGAACTGGTAACTGTATCTATTACTGTAGCTCATTAGTTTGGTTCTTGGGATTAGTTGGATCCACACCTTATCTGTACGAAACAGGTTTCCAGAGCCCCCAGATCCTGTGGTCTCCCAGCCAAAGAGTGGATGTGTATGAAATGACACCCTATTTCCTATATAGTGCACTCCCTTTGACCAGAGCCAAATGGGTCCTGGTCAAAAGTAGTGCACTGAATAGCCGATAGGGTGCCATTTCACACACAACCAGTGCTTCACAACCAAAACCTGTAGAGGGAGAGAGACTCCACCACCACCTTAAAGCCAATTGGATGATTGAGTCTTGCAATATGATGAATCATATGAAAATCCATAGATGGAGAAATGGAACCTCACATAGGTTGACTACTACAGCACCTCTGCATCAGCGAAACCCCACCACCCTCTGGCTATAGCAGGTATGGCCACAGACGATGACTCTGGACAAGGACTGGCGCGTGGGAATATTCTGGCGGTCGTTGTGTACAAAATGGAGGGGATTAACATGTAATTTCCTGTTATTATAAAGGCCAAGGCTGTTATGGTGCGGTTGGAAGATATTTGGAGATTGATAGAGCTCATATATATATGTAATTTAGCTTGTCCACTAATATGGTCCATGTAGTCACATCTCATTGCTTTGCACTGCCGATCTGACGTACAGTATCTTCACACAGGTAGAACAGGAAGTATTTGTGGGGGTGGTACATCAAATACATGAGTCCATGTGTTTGTGTGCTAGTTTGGTTCAGTGATAGTTTATATTTTTGACCCTACACATTTGTTGAACTGACATTTGTTGATTTGCCGCTGTTATGTTTGATGTCTTGCATTGCTTGCACTACTAAACCACGTCATCTCTGTGAAGGTCTAAACACAAAGTGAACCTTAACATATCAGTGTACGGGCCACAATGGAGGGACCGTTCACATCCTTAGCGTTCAGACACCTCTTGTTTATCATGTCGATCCCACATTCCATGAAATCACTATCTTTTATGCCCAAATTAACCCAATTTCTACACTAAGAAATGTATTTTTCTTAAATACATTATCAGAAGAAACTCATTGAAGCCAGACAAATGTGACTGAATGCTACTTGCCAGAGTCATAAAGAGATACAGTATACATGTATATTGCTCTGCTACTCACGTTCAAAAGGACAAAAGACATGCTTTCTCCTTTTTGTTACTCCACTGATTCATGCTGATGTGATTGGTGGATGGAATCATTCATATATCAAAGTTGAGCAGAATGACCCCTGTCTGCATGGAATCAGTTTCCTCTAACTTACCAGACCACTATCACTGACCTCATCACTGCCTGTGAACTACGGGTATTCCAATCCTAGAACTAGAATTAGGGATTCCATTCTATGGTTCCGCTCCCTTGTGAATGTATGTGAGAGAGAATATGTTGACCAGACTCAAAATCACGATAAGCCATAATCTGAGCACTTGTTGTCATTGTTGAGTATACACAAACATCCCAAAAAGCCATAATCAGTACAGTATAATATATACACAGAGTGTACAAAACATTAAGAACACTGTGCTAATATTGAGTTACACCCCCTTTTGCCCCAAAACAGCCTCAATTTGTCGGGACGTGGACTCTACAAGGTGTCGAAAGCGTTCCACAGGGATGCTGGCCCATGTTGACTCCAATGCTTCCCACAGTTGTGTCAAGTTGGCTGCATGTCCTTTGAGTTGTGGACCATTCTTGATACACACACGAAACTGTTGTGTGAAAAACCCAGCAGCGTTGCAGTTCTTGACACAAACTGGTGCGCTGGCACCTACTACCATACCCCTTTCAAAGGCACTTAAATATTTTGTCTTGCCCATTCACCCCCCCCACCCCCCGAATGGCACACATACACAATCCATGTCTCAATTGTCTCAAGGCTTAAAAATCCTTCTTTAACCTGTCTCCTCTCCTTCAGCTACACTGATTTGAAGTGGATTTAACAGGTGACATCAATAAGGGATCATAGCTTTCACCTGGTCAGTCTATGTCATGGAAAGAGCAGGTGTTCATAATGGTTTGTGCACTCCGTGTATAGTACAGTGGACTGTGAGTACGCCATTTCTCTAAATGTCACATTTTGATATGTTCGTTTCTTGCTATGAGCTGAGCGCTTTCACAGACATAGCTTTAGCTCCTGTGTCTATTGCAGAGTTTATGTTTGGGACTTGGCCAGTAGTGGCTGTATGATGCACTTTATGTATGTACTGTATGACATGGGAGGATGTTGCTAGCTTGGTTAGCATAGCCTCCATTTTATAGCAGCTTATTTGAAGCAGAGTGCCTTTTCTGTTTGTTTTTTCATACACACTGCGTAGCTTTCCATATTACTTGTTGTTTATGTTGGCTCAATGTTCATCCCACATATTTGTGTAGTCCCTCTAAAACTCATTTGAAGTGCCTTGAGTTTCTGCCTCTTGCTTTTGATGTTTCTCTAGTCCACTTTTAGCTCCATAGATTTTAGTGTGAAATGTGAAGAAGATTCTAAAATATCATACAATTATTTTGATAGTGGGGTTGGAATGACGTTTCCCTTTGTTTTCAACTAGCTTTAGTGTTAAAGTTTAACACATGGTTAGGGTCCTGTGAACAAAATCAAGTATGAACTGTGGTTGATATGTAACACCTATGTTGTTAAAATGGATAAGATTTGTTATCGGAATCATTTTGTTTGCTTAAAGGGATAGTTCACCCCAAAATAAATACTCAGAAATACTTTAAAGTCAAGCATTTTCCCTACATAGCTGTTTGTGGACAACTCCCAAATCCTGCAATTCTGTTTTAGTGTCATTTGGGGATAACCATTTTTTTGTTTTGGTATTTTTATACACACAGTTTGTCTGGGATAAATGGTCAAATGACATGGGTTTTGTTTCTAAACTATGTGGGCTGTAGCTGTTAGTTGGATTCTGTTCAGAACAATAACTTGTCTTTATGCAGGCATCATCCTTTCATGTGTGACCTTTTCAAAAGACAATAAATATTTTTCAATGAAAAACATGAGATATTTCATGATTTCTTCCTTATCTCTGTATACTATATACTGCAGCATGTTCCTTCAGAAAGTATTCTCACCTCTTTACATTTTCCAAAATGTTGTTACAGCCTGAATTTAAAATGTATTAACTTGTCACTGGCCTACACACAATACCCAATAATGTCAAAATGGAATGTTTTTAGAAATGTTTTATTACAAATGAAAACTGAAATGTCTTGAGTCAATAAGTATTCAACCCCTTTGTTATCGCAAGCCTAAATACTACGTTCAGGAGTAAAAATTTGCTTAACTAGTCACATAAGTTGCATGGACTCACACTTTGTGAAATTTAACATGATTTTTGAATGACTACCTCATCGCTGTACCCCACACATACAATTATCTGTAAGGTCCCTCAGTTGAGCAGTGAATTTCAAACTCCGATTCAACCACAAAGACCAGTGAGGTTTTCCAATGCCTTGCAAAGAAGGGCACCTATTGGTAGATGGGTAAAACAATTAAATAAAGCAGACATTGAATATCCTTTTGAGAATGGTGATGTTATTAATTACACTTTGGATGGTGTATCATTACACCCAGTCACTACAAAGATAGACGTCCTTCCTAACTCAGTTGCCGGAGAGGAAGGAAACCAATCAGGGATTTCACCATGAGGCCAATGGGGACTTTAAAACAGTTACAGAGTTTAATGTCTGTGGCAGGAGAAAACTGAGGAAGGATCAACAACATTGTAGTTACAATACTACACAATACTAATCTAAATGACAGAGTGAAAAGGAAGCCTGTACAGAATAAAGAATATTCCAAAACATGAATCCTGTTTGCAATAAGGCACTAAAGTTAAAACTGCTAAAAATGTGGCAAAGAAATTAACTTTATGTCCTTAATACAAAGTGTTATGTTAGGGGCACATATTTTCAAGCATTGTGGTGGCTGCATCATGTCATGGGTATGCTTCTCATCGGCAAGGATTAGGGAGTTTTTTTTAGGATAAAAACAGACACTGGGAGACTCATTCACCTTTCAGTAGGACAACAACCTGACACACAAGGCCAAATATACACTGGCATTGCTTACCAAGATGACGTTGAATGTTCCTGAGTGGCCTAGTTACAGTTTTGACTTACACAACCATTCAAAAGTTTGGGGTCCTTTAGAAATGTCCTTGTTTTCGAAAGAAAAGCAATTTTTTGGTCCATTACAATAACATCAAATTGATCAGAAATACAGTGTAGACATTGTTAATGTTGTAAATGGCTATTGTAGCTGGAAACGGCTGATTTTTGTATGGAATATCTACATAGGCATACAGAGGACCATTATCAGCAACCATCAGTCCTGTGTTCCAATGGCACGTTGTGTTTGCTAATCCAAGTTTATCATT